CTCCTGGCGTTGGATGTCCCCTGGCCCATCTTGGGGGCCAGCCGCCTAAGGACCCACCGGCATGGACTCCCTGCAAAGTCCCCTCAGGACATCCGAACAGAGGGCAGCTCCAGGGGCAGCTACTCCTGCAGGCCACTCGGATGCTGATGGGGGTGTGATTGACAGAGAACAGCTGCTTTTCCTAAAATGGCAATTTTGTGCTTCTTGAAGATTTGCATGTTGGTGGAACAAACCCACATCAGTGTCCTGCAGCCTGAATTGCCGTTACGCCCTTTCCCAGGCGGCCTGAGGCCTGCAGGATGGACGGGGGTCCTTAGGCTGAAGGGTAGTTTGTGAGCAGCGAGGCCGCTCTGCGTGCTTCGTCCCCGCGCGTCAGGCCGCCTGCGAAAGGTCACGTCAGTTGTTGGGTTTCCCTGGCGTCAGGCCGCTCCCTCCTTCACCTCCCACCAGTCACGTGTCATCTCGCGCTCAGTGTCCTCATGTCCATCGCAGCGGCCACTTCACGGGCAGAACGAATGCCCCACCTTTGGAAAATGCCACCTCGAGACCCGATGAAGGGTCTGTGCATGTCACAGTGCGTGGGCTATGGTTGACTTCATTTCTCGTGGCAAATCCCAGCGTCACCTATTTAGTGAACCCCTAGCAGGGAGGGAAGTGTTCCCAGGGCTGGCACTTCAGCAGCAGCGTGGCACGTGGGGGTGAGGCCGTGCTGGGGAAGGAGTCAAGGCAAGATCCCAGTGCCCGCACTCACTGCCGAGAGGACTTGATAGACGACAGTTGTACGTGGGACATAAGCTCCAGAGCACCTGTCAGCCTCACGCTAAGAAGCCAAGCTCTCTTGCTTCTCCAGACCACATGGTTCTGTGTCTGATACGCTGCTACTTTCTGTGCATGAAAATAAGCCCCATTACATGGAGTGGCCAGATTGTTATGATCTCTGAGTGCATAATAATCTGGCCACTCAGTGTATATCCTATAGAATAAAAGGCTAATATGCAAATTGTCCCCTCGACCAGGAGTTGAACCAGCAGGCAGGCCGGCCAACTGCCCATATCTCCTCCCCCTCTCCAGGCTGGCTGAACGGACCCCACTCTGCACGAATTCATGCACCGGGTCTCTAATATATGTGTACACACACACACACACACACACACACACACACACACACTGAGTGGCCAGATTATTATGCATTCAGAGATCATCATAATCTGGCCACTCAGTGTTTATACTCTGAAGCATTCTTTTGAGAAGCAGTACTAATGGCCACTTAACCATTTTAACCTGCATAAAAATGGGAAGAATCTGATAAAGACACTTGAGGGGAAAAAAGAAAAAAGAAAAAGAAGTTATTGTGTGAGGAGGGAACAAATTAAGCCTTCTGGTTCCCCCCTCCTCTTCCTTATGCATCTATCCAGTGCAGGACAGCCATCCTCGCCTTCCTGGATCGCGGGCTGACTCCTCCCAGCACAGTGTCTGTTTTATGGAGAAGAGATAGGAAGGCTGTGTGGCCCTGATCACCGCGAGGGGCATTCTCCGTGCACTCCACTATCTCTAACGGCTAAGCCCCCAAGAAGTGTCACAATGAGCCATGCCATTCCTAATAGTTACAACCAGTCCTGGCCATGGCCCGTGTGCAGACAGAGAGTGGTAGAGACACCAGGTGAGAGCGGGGTGGGTACTGGGTGTCAAGCTCCTCATAACACGGACTCCGCCGCCTCCTGTCCTGGGCATCGGTGAGCCTGTTTCTCCCCGGGGCCCCGGTTGGGGCTCGGAAAGCAAAGCCACCTCCCGGCGCAGCTGAGCCTGGCGACCTCAGGGTACCGGTGAGGGGTGCGGGGCCGGAGAGGGGGAGGGCTGCCGTCCTGCAGTCCGGCTGTGGCCGGAACAGATCTCCTCGGTCTGGCATTCCTCCTTCCTCCCCGAGCTCCTCCACTCCATCCGGGAGCGAGGCTGGCTGCGTGGGGATGTGGCGCCGGGACCCACGAGGCCTTCCTCACGCCAGTTCGGCCTCTGATCCCGGTCACCGTGGGCAGAACGGGAAGCGCCAGGCGGCTTCCTGCCGGTGTGCCTCTTGTGTTCTCCGGAGGAGGCGCTTGCCCCTGACCTTGCCCGTGCTGTGTTTCTCTCTTGGACTGTCACAGGCAGTTTGAGATGGTCGTTCCCACCGAAGACTCCGTCATCACCGAGATGACCTCCACGCTGCGGGACTGGGGCACGCTGTGGAAGCAGCTGTACGTGGTAGGTGGCTGTCCCCGGCCGGGGGTGGTTGTAAGAATCACCTGAGCGAGGGGGGCCTGGGCTGGCGTCTGGCACCTGCTGTCCGTCCCTCCGGGTGTCGGGGCCAGAGCGTGGGAAGACGTCTTCTTGGGATCCGGAGAAGCTAAGTCGAGGTGGCAGACCCGAGGGCTCTGTGCTGGGTCTCCATGGAGGGTGAAAGGATGCGTTGGGAAGGATGTAAAACTCAGTGTTATTTTACTGAGAACAGCACCATGCAGGGCAGTAGCATGGGAAGTGGAACTATCCCAGCTGCTCAGGCCCGTGCCTCCTGAACTCTCAGCAGGAGGCTTACAGAAGGGCAGCGCAGGTGGTATCAGGTCACAGACCCAGACCCGCCCGCCGCCTCGTCTGTGGGGAGCCAAGCTGAGTTTCCTCTTGGTCCGGCCTTTCCTGCATCCCAGTCAGGGTGCGAGGGTGTGGGCCACCAGCCAGGAAACGGTGCCTGCTGCCTCTGATGTGGGGCCGGGTGTTCCGATCGGATCGGACGGAGCTGAGGAAGGAGGATCGTAGGGGGCAGGGAGGCAGAGGGGGCGGTGGCAGGCCCGTGGGCCCAGACGCGGCGTCTGTGCTGTGCAGTCCTCGATGGGACGTCGGGTTCCTGGGGAGGGAGGCAGCAGGCCCATCACACCGGGGGATGCGGGCACGAGGGCAGAGCCTGTTAGGAAGGATCTGTCCCCGAAGAGGCGAGCACATAGGACGTGCCCCCTCCTCTGGGGTCTGTCCATCCGTCCGTCATCTCCCCCCCCCCCCCCCCCCCGCGCAGCCTGGGGGCCCGACTGAGGCCACGTTTGTGTGTTCCAGCGGAACGAGGGCGACCTGTTCCACCGGCTGTGGCACATCATGAACGAGGTGCTGGACCTGCGGCGGCAGGTGCTGGTGGGCCACCTGACTCACGACCGCATGAAGGACGTGAAGCGCCACATCACCGCCCGCCTGGACTGGGGCAACGAGTGAGTGCGGGGCTGGGCTGGCTGTGTCCCAGTGCTGTGGCCAAAGCGCGGGGACGTAGTTACTTTGCCGAGTGAGACGAGCTAGTCAGAGAAGGGTGGGTGTCCCGTGATCTCACTCATCTGTGGAGCCGAATGAGCAAAATAAGCGGACGAGCAAAACAGATCCGGAGACAGAGAAGCGTGGGACAGACTGAGGGACCTCAGAGAGAAGGGGGGTGGGGTAGAGGTGGGAAGAGATCAGCCATCGAACGTGGGTGCATCGTTGCTTAACCCGGGGACCCTGGCAGGAGGGTGGTGAGGGCCTGGGGGTCGGGGAGGCAGGGGCTGGCAGATGGGGTGAATGGGGTGGGGGGAGGGACATGTGTAATACTTTCCACAATAAAGATCTAAAAACAAATTAATTAGTTAAAAAAAAAAAGGTGTATTTTCTCCCCAACGTCTTTTCTCTCCTCTGCTCTCAGGCAGCTGGGCCTGGACCTGGTGCCCCGGAAGGAGTACGCGATGGTGGACCCCGAGGACATCAGCATCACCGAGCTCTACCGCCTGGTGGGTGCCGGCGTGTGGGCGCAGCTCGCTCCCGGTCTTGTGGTTTCCATGGCGCTCGCTGTACTTAATTTTGCAAGAACAGGCTGTTCCCGGTGTAATCCGGAGCGGGGAAGGAGGGTGAGCGCTGAGGTGACCGTGCCCTGAGCATGGAACTGCGACGCTCCCCTGTCCCAGACCGACGGGGCAGCCCCCACTTGGCCCTCTGCTCCCCGGACCAGGGCGGAAACCCAGACGCGTTTCTGTTGCAGATCTTTGTGGTTTTGCCCAGTCTGGTCTAGGGAGATGCTTGCAAGCCGTGCGTGCACATCTGCTGTGTGTCAGGACACGGCTGTGACGGATGGTGTCCGATCCTTCCTCACCCACGCGCACCCCCTGCCCCCATCATAGCGGCGGACAGACTTTTGCCGGCATCTCCTGGGGCCCCGCTGCTTGTCTGACCCCAACCCTCCCACCCCCAGGCCGGTCCTCGGGGCTGAGCCAGGGGGAAGGCCCAGACAGATGGGCCTGCTTCCCCTCTGCCCTGCACCGGCTCTGTGGTCTTGGACTCACTGCTTCACCTCAGAGCCTCCGTGTCTTCCTCTGGTCATTGGGGTGTGATCCGGATCCCGTGGTTACCATGGACGTCACATGGGGAACGCATGTAGCAAGCCTCTCCCTGGCAGACGATGTTTGCTGAGGGCTAAGCATTCGGTCCGTCTCCACGTGTCCCCTCGCCTTTGGTTTATCCTCATTAGACGGGCGAGGTGGCCAGGAGAGTGGGTACCTTCCACGCTGAAACCTGCGACTCGGGTTGGCTCTGTCTAATACCGTAAACAGTGAAAGCTTGGCCGTGCTGGGCATTTCCTTCTCTCTCTCCATACTCCAGTCCAAAGGCCAGGCGTTCTGGGCTTGGTGGTGGGTTCCTGGTGCCGGAAGGGGCCCGGGCTGTTGTCCTCCTGCTGTGCCGTGCGTGGTTTCATGGTCAAGAGTCCTTCCAAGCCCAAGGTGGCTGCCAGCGCTCCGCCATTGCCGCCCTCCCCCGCAGCGGGGAGAGAACGGTCCGGCTGCGTCAGGAAACCCCACACATCGCTCGCACTTACAGCCCGCTGGCCAGATGTGGTCACTCCCCCGCACCGAGGCTGCAGTGTCAGATACCGTATCTGGTAAACAGCCACCGGTGCGGGAGGGAGACGCACGTGGCCTTCCCTGGTCTGATCTCGCATGCCCGCAATGTCGTCTCCGTTCCCTTCATTATGGTCGCCCGTGGGATGGATGGCGTCACCGCTCAGCGTTCCGGTTTATCGCCGGGGAGGGTGCTGTGTTGATGAGATTCGGGGGGTCAGGTGGTCTAGTTCTTCCCTCCCTCCCCACACGGCAGGCTTGTATCTGTCCTGTGGCAGCTCCAGTGATGGGGTGCCCTGGTAGGTAGCTCCATGCAGGCGAGGCCGTTTCTGCGCCGGCCCATCCTGGCACAGTGCAGACGCCCACAGCTGTGTGTGGGGTGAGCGGTCGGTCCTCCGTCTCCTCACTGCTGGTCCTGCTCCCGCGGGAGCCTGGCCGGCCGTCCTGAGGACGGAGAGGACAGGTGGACGCAGGCGCGGTGCCGGCAGACACCTGGCTGGCTCTCTCGGTCTGTGTCCGGGGCCCACGGCCGGTGAGAGCTCGTGCTCTGGGAATGGAGCGTCACCCCCCCGGCCTGCCCAGAGCGCCGCCGGGATTGTGCGAGGGAGTCGCCTTCCAGAGAGCGTGGAATTGTGAGGGGTGTGCCCTCGTTGCTGCACTGGTTGGCTCCCGTCGGTGAAATGGTCCGTCAGCTGTACGTTCGGCTGATTTTTAGGGACGACTCATCATTTCTCCTCGCCCTGGGAGGTGGGCCGGAAGCAGCCGGATCCTTTGGATAGCGGGCTTGAGTCGGCTCAGTGCCTTCGTATTTTTTTTTATTTTTTTTTTTTAACACGAATGATGAAAAAAACAAGATTCCTCCATGGCTTGCCATCTTGATAGTTTCATGCTTTAGACGTTGGAAGAAAGTTTGGAATTCAATATCCAACTAGATTCCAAATCCAGAGCCAGAAAATAAAATTTAAAAAAATTGCAGACGGTCCCCGGCTTATCAAGTTCAACTCGGGATTTTTTGACTTGACCGTGTGCACGTGCCAAAGCCATGCGCATTCGGGAGAGACCATGCCCGGGGTTGAACGTTGACCTTCCCTGGACTGCCCGTGGGCGGCAGGGGTCTCTCTCGTGATGCTGGGTGGGGGCGGCTCCCAATCTCGAGGGCCAGCACCTGTTCTGCACAGGGCTCTGTGCTGTCAGTGTGTTTGGATTTTGTGATTGTGTGGTCACGCCCCCTCAGCCCATCTGTGCTCCTGCTTCTGGGAGAAGTAGAGGAATGTGATTAATCTGGGGATGAAACTCAAAATACTGGCCCCACTGTAGGCCCATGTATGTGTTCTGAGCAGTTTAAGGTGGGCCAGGCTCAGCTGTGGTGTTCGGTAGGTTAAATGTATTCAGTGCATTTTTAAAAAATATACTTCTTATTGATTTCAGAGAGGAAGGGAGAGGGAGAGATAGAAACACCAATGATGAGAGAGAACCATGGTTTGGTTCTGCCTCCTGCACGCCCCACACTGGGTACCGAGCCTACAACCCGGGCACATGCCCTGACTGGGCATCGAACCCTGACCTCCTGGTTCATAAGTCGATGCTCAACTACTGAGCCACCCGGCCGGGCATCAGTGCAGTTTTGACGTGGGCTATTTTCCACTTATGACCAGCGTGTCGGGAGGTGACCCCGTTGTGGGCTGGGGACACCTGTACCGCAGCTCCCACCGCCCCTGACTGACCCGTGTTCGTGGCGCCCTCAGATGGAGCACCGGCACCGGAAGAAGGACGCGCCGGCGCAGGCCAGCAGCCACCACCTCTTCGTGCAGCTCAAGAGCCTCATGTGCTCCAACCTGGGCGAGGAGCTCGAGGTCATCTTCTCGCTCTTCGACAGCAGGGAGAACCGCCCCATCAGGTGACTGCGTCCCGGGGCCCCGGGTGGGCGCTGACCAGGTGACCTGGGTCCTGGGCAGGCGTGGACCTGATGACCCGGATTACAGCTGGGCGTGGATCAGACAACCTGGGTTCCCGGTGGTCATGGACCAGAAGGCCTGGGTCACGGGCCATGGGTGGGCAGAGACCAGATGACCCAGGTCACGGTCAGGCGTGGATCAGGTGACGGGGCACGCGTCTTCTCTCAGCCCCACTTCCTCACTGGTAGGACCCTGTGGTGTCTACGCTTCCTACTGTGTGGAGGCTCCCTGAACGTTAGATGGGGCGATGGATGGATGGGGAAGTTAGGCGGGGCGATGGGTGGGAAAGTTAGGCGGAACACAAAGGGGCTGCAGGATTGCTCTCAGGTGAAAAGGGACTGGCTGTGTGAATCACTTTGAGTGGACGTTCAGGGAACATCGGAGAACTCCACGTCTGCTCGTTTGTCAAGGCAGCACGTGGTGGTTCTCATATTTCCAGCGAGGAGTTACCTCATCCTCGTCCACCTGGATCAGGCGACGCCAGGAGGCCTTCCCATGGGCGTTCGGAGCGGAGGACTGGCGGACATTTCCGTGTGCTGTGTGTGCACACCCGCTCTTTCCGTCTTCCCCGTGCTCCGAGTCTCACTGCTGTGGCCGTCCGGGGCAGGCTTTCAGTCGTTAGTGGAAACCTAGAGTGGATGTGTGTGTGCCTTAGACCTCCCATACATTTGTTTTTTAAAGTTGAGCACAGCACCTACCAAATGATATAATTTCTAAAGTGCGGCTCACCCACCCCAGAATGAATGTTTGTGCGTTTCCTCTAAGCATAGCTTCTCCTTAAAGAGTAATGCGTTTTCTCTCACCGTGAAAGAGCTTCAGGCCTTTCCCGGGAGCCGCAGGCACGGACAGTGGGGAGACCTTACCGCCCGCCCCGCGGTGCCCCCACGCCCAGCCTCCGTGCTGCCACCAGCAGCCACCTGACCTCTGGGTTTGACCCTCCTCCCGATAGTAGCACCTGGCATCGAAACCTGATCTCTCAGAAGTTCATGACAGTTTTAAAAAAAATATGTTTTATCGAGTTTTTACAGAGAGGGATAGAAAGCTAGAAACATTGATGAGAGAGAAACATCGATCAGCTGCCTCTTGCATGCCCCCTACTGAGGATATGCCCACAACCAAGGTACATGCCCTTGACCGGAATCGAACCCGATTCAGTCCGCAGGCCGACGCTCTATCCACTGAGCCAAACCGGCTTCGGCAGTTTAGGACAATTCTTACGGAAGGAACTGGGGTGGCACCGGTTCATGAAGTCCGGTGAGATCCAGGGGCACGCTTCCGTAACATTCAAAGTCGGTTTTGTTCGCACGTGTGTTCCCGTTCTGGGCTCTGCGGCTGCTGCTTCGCCGGTTTCGTCCGATGTGAAGCCAGCAATGGTTGTCTCGGGGGCGCTTCCGTTTTCTAGAAAAGCGCCGATGTCACAGGAGTGATCGTAAGGGTGTGGAGCCCGGCCGGGGACGTGGAGTCTCCCGGGGGAAGCGCCCCGTCCGTCTGTCCGTCCGTCCGAGCGACCAGACAGCCTCTGAGACGCTGACTTCCTTCCTCTCTTGCAGCGAGCGCTTCTTCCTGCGGCTGAACAGGAGCGGGCTGCCCAAGGCCCCCGACAAGCCCGAGCGGCACTGCTCCCTCTTCGTGGTGAGTGGGCCGCCCGCCCGCTGCGTGGCACGAGGGCGCGAGGGTGTCTGTGGGCGGAGGCCGGGGGATGGCTTAAACTTTGTGATCCACATGCAAAGGCCAGGGGTGATGCCCGGGACGCGGACACGGTCGCCCCTGCGCTCCTCGGGGGCACTGGAGCCTGTCACACTCTCACCGGGTGCTGGTGTTGGCTGGGCGGTGTGGCTCGAAGTGAGAGTGAGTGAGGGAGAGGTTGACGTGAGAGAGGGCTTTCCCTTGAACTGTCATGTGACATCAGTAAGCCTTCAGGAAAGTCCGCTGTAGTATTTGTATTGACTTCAGAGAGGAAGGGAGAAAGAGAGAGAGAAACATCAGCGCTGAGAGAGAATCATGGATCGGCTGCCTCCTGCACGCCCCCTACTGGGGATGGAGCCTGGAACCCGGACATGTGCCCTGACCAGGAATCAAACCGTGACCTCCTGGCTCATAGGTCAACACTCAACCACTGAGCCACACCAGCCAGGCCACTAATGCTTTTAGAACAGGATGTAAACTATCTGCTCCCGTTACAGAAATGCCATTAAAAGTATCTCTGTTGATTTTTTGGGGGGAATAAACACCTAACTTCATTTAGAAAGGTACTACGGAAAGTCCAGTAAATCTTTAAAAGTCACCAGTCACAACGTGGTGAGACACAGCTCTCATTTCTTCATGCTGCCCTCTGACATCTTCAAAGCTTTGTGTTTGTGGGCGCTCCTGGCTTTGTGAGCTCGTTATTGTTGGTGTGTTCTTATGTCCGTCCCCTTCCCCTACCCCACCAACAGCCATCAGCTTCTCTGTCTCCGTGAGTCTGCTTCTGCTTCGTTTTGTTTTAAATTTTTTTAAAAAAATTTATTTTATTGATTTTACACAGAGAGGAATTGAGAGGGACAGAGAGTTAGAAACATCGATGAGAGAGAATCATTGATCAGCTGCCTCTTGCACACCCCCTACTGGGGATGTGCCCGCAACCAAGGTACATGCCCTTGACCGGAATCGAACCTGGGACCTTTCAGTCCGCAGGCCGACGCTCTATCCACTGAGCCAAACCGGTCCTGGCTATTTTTTTTAATTTTTATTTTTAAAATATATTTTATTGATTTTTCACAGAGAGGAAGAGAGAGGGATAGAAAGTTAAAAACATCGATGAGAGAGAATCATCGACCAGCTGCCTCCTGCACACCCCCCACTGGGGATGTGCCCGCAACCAAGGCACATGCCCTTGACCGGAATAAAACCTGGGACCCTTCAGTCCGCAGTTCGACGCTCTATCCACCACCGAGCCACACCGGTTTCGGCTCGTTTTGTTTATTAATTGTTCTCCTTGGTTTGGATCCCACACACCCGTGTGGCCGTGCGGTGTGGGTATTCTCTGACTTGTCTCACTCAGTGTCACACGCTCCAGGCCCAGCTGTGTTGTTGCGGCTGGCTCCGTTTCCCTCTTCTCTCTCTCTGACCTCCTCCCTCCGGCCCACCTGTTCACCGCCCAAGGCCGCTCCCACAGCGTGGCTCTTCCTGCCGGCCCCGCGGGGAGTGCGGGGTGTCCGTACCTTCTGAAGTTAGCGTTTTTCCTTTCTCCGGCGGGTGCCCACAGTGGCACTGCGGGTGGGGCGCGGCTCCGTGTTGTCTGTTTCCTGCGGGCGGGATGTGCGGGCCCTCGCCTGCTCCCCGGCCGGGCGCGGTGCAGTGACGGGCTCTGTGTCGGCAGGACCTGGGCAGCGGCGAGCTTCGCAGGGACGTGTACATCACCGTGCACATCATCCGCATCGGTAGGTGGGCCTGCGGGGGGCCCCGGGGAAGGCGGGCGCAAGGCCTCTGTCCTGAATCAGGAGACGTCGGAGCCGGAGCCGTGCTCCAGAACCCCAGAACCCAGGCTGGCTCCCTGGCCTCCCCACGGCCCCCGTGCGGCCCGCTCCCGCACACTCTTCTCGCCATTGGTCCTCGCGGAGTTTGTTGTTTCTGTGTCACGGGGCTCCCTGACCATATTGGATTCAACAATTTTGTATTCATCTTTTTTAAAAAAATATATATATTTTATTGATTTTTTTACAGAGAGGAAGAGAGAGGGATAGAGAGTTAAAAACATCAGTGATGAAAGAGAATCACCGATCAGCTGCCTCTTGCACACCTCCTATTGGGGATGTGCCCGCAACCAAGGTACATGCCCTGGACCGGAATCGAACCCTGGACCTTTCAGTTTGCAGGCACTATTCACTGAGCCACACCGGTTTTGGCCATCTTTTTTTTTTTTTTATATCCTCATCCAAGGAGTGAGGATATTTTTTCCTTTTTTTTTTTTTTTTTTTTTTTTTTTTTTAAGATAATGGACGGGAGGAGGGAAGAGGAGAGAGAGTGAGAGAGAGAGAGGCATGGATGTGAGAGAGAATCGTGGATCAGTTGCCTCCTGCTTGCGCCCCAGCTGGAGCCGGGTTCGAATCCACAACCAGGCACGTGTCCTGGAAGAGGCACTTCCTGCCTGAGGGACCTGGGCCTCCGGGTGTGGGGCCGGCCCTGCCCTCGGGTCTCCTCGATGGCCGGGCGCCCAGAGTGAGCGGCGTGCTCGAGGCCAGGGTGAGGTCGTTGCGGAGGAGGGTCCCAGCTGCAGCGGCATCGCCTGTCGCCCCAAACCCGTGTCCGTCCCGTGGCCAGTGACACGGTGATGGGGGGTGTGCCTCGTGAGGCTGGGCCCGTGACCCTGGCCACGTCTGCTCCCGCGGGCAGGTCGGATGGGGGCGGGCGAGAAGAAGAACTCCTGTGGCGTCCAGTACCGGCGCCCCTTCGGCTGCGCGGTGCTCAGCATCGCCGACCTGCTGACCGGGGAGACCAAGGACGACCTCATCCTGAAGGTGTACATGTAAGAGGCTGCCCGGGGGGTGGGCGCAGGGCTGGGCCCGGGGAACCAGGACCTGCTGGGACCCGTCTAAGGACCTCACTTTACCTTGGTTACTTTTGTAAAGACAACTGTAATAATAAAAGCGTAATATGTTCATTAGACCAGACAGCCAGACGTCCCTCCGGACAAAGCCCTGGCAGCAGGGGCCGAGGCAGAGGCAGTTAGGGGTGATCAGGCGGGCGGGCAGGCAGGAAGGCAGGTGAGCAGTTAGGAGCCAGTGGTCCTGGGTTGCTAGAAGGATGTCCAACTGCCGGGCTTGAACCGGGCTTCTGATTTTCGAGTAAGGCCACGTTCTGAGAGAGCGGGGCTAGGACTCTACGTTATTTCTTTTTTGGGGGGTGAGGGGGCACAGTTCAAGTTCAACTCATGGCAGTAAGAAAGTCCGTGACCATTCCACATCCGAAATTGAATTTTAAAATGCACCTGGTTTTGGATCTCCCACTGTGTGCACCAATAGGCTCTGACACAGAGCTGACACACACAGGGGTGCTCAGAGCAGCCCCCGGGGAAGGGAGTACACAGTGGGGTGCTCAGAGCAGATCCCGGGGAGAGGAGGTACACAGCGGGGCTCAGAGCGGATCCCAGGGAGAGGAGGTACACAGCAGAGGCACAGAGCGGATCCCGGGGAGAGGAGGTACACAGCGGGGCCTCAGAGCAGATCCCGGGGAGAGGAGGTACACAGCGGGGCCTCAGAGCAGATCCCGGGGAGAGGAGGTACACAGCGGGGCCTCAGAGCAGATCCCGGGGAGAGGAGGTACACAGCGGGGGCTCAGAGCAGATCCCGGGGAGAGGAGGTACACAGCAGGGGCTCAGAGTGGATCCCGGGGAGAGGAGGTACACAGCGGGGGCTCAGAGTGGATCCCGGGGAGAGGAGGTACACAGTGGGGGCTCAGAGTGGCCCCCAGGGAGAGGAGGTACACAGCGGGGCTCAGAGTGGCCCCCGGGGAGAGGAGGTACACAGCGGGGGCTCAGAGTGGATCCCGGGGAGAGGAGGTACACAGCGGGGGCTCAGAGCAGATCCCGGGGAGAGGAGGTACACAGCGGGGGCTCAGAGCAGATCCCGGGGAGAGGAGGTACACAGCAGGGGCTCAGAGTGGCCCCCGGGGAAGGGGGCATGCATTCCTGAGACAGGGGTGGAGTGGACAAGTCTGGCAGCTGAGCCCCTGGGTGACCAGGTGGGGTGCCAGGTGTGTCCTCTCACCGCCCAGGGGTGTGGCCGTGAGAATCTGAGCTCTCCACCCAGTGGCTGGGGTGTGAGGCCGGGGGGCACTCATACACGGGGTACGCCTCCTGGTCTTGGGGTGTCTGTGCTGACCAACGTCACCGCCAGGGGCTGCGGGAGCTGCTGGGCAGCGGGAGGAGAACGCTGGGTGGTGAGGGCAGAGCCGCAGGCTGGGCGTCCCTGCGGGCTCAGCCGGGCCGGGCGTCCCTGCGGGCTGGGCCGGGCGTCCCTGCGGGCTGGGCCGGGCGTCCCTGCGGGCTGGGCTGGGCCGGGCGTCCCTGCGGGCTGGGCTGGGCCGGGCGTCCCTGCGGGCTGGGCCGGGCGTCCCTGTGGGCTGGGCTGGGCCGGGTGTCCCTGTGGGCTGGGCTGGGCCGGGTGTCCCTGCGGGCTGGGCCGGGCGTCCCTGCGGGCCGGGCCGGGCCGGGCGTCCCTGCGGGCCGGGCCGGGCCGGGCGTCCCTGCGGGCCGGGCCGGGCCGGGCGTCCCTGCGGGCTGGGCCGGGCGTCCCTGCGGGCTGGGCGTCCCTGCGGGCTGGGCCGGGCGTCCCTGTGGGCCGGGCCGGGCATCCCTGTGGGCCGGGCCGGGCGTCCCTGCGGGCTGGGCCGGGCGTCCCTGCTCCCGGCCCCATGCTGACGGAGCCATGTCCCAGGTGCAACACGGAGAGTGAGTGGCACCAGATCCACGAGAACATCATCAAGAAGCTGAACGCGCGCTACAACCTGACCGGCTCCAACGCAGGTGAGTGGGGGCCTGGCCGGCTCCAGGGGGTGAGTGTGGGGGCCCCAGGCGGTGAGTGTGGGGACCTGGCCGGCTCCAGGCGGTGAGTGTGGGGGCTCCAGGGGGTGAGTGGGGGCCAGCTGGCTCCAGGGGGTGAGTGTGAGGGCTCCAGGGGGGTGAGTGGGGGGGGCCTGTCCGGCTCCAGGCGGTGAGTGTGGGGGCCCCAGGCGGTGAGTGTGGGGGCCTGGCCGGCTCCAGGGGGTGAGTTTGGGGGGCCGGCCGGCTCCAGGGGGTGAGTGTGGGGGCCCCAGGGGGTGAGTGTGGGAGGCCGGCCGGCTCCAGGCGGTGAGTGTGGGGGCCCCAGGGGGGTGAGTGTGGGGGCCCCAGGGGGTGAGTGTGGGGGCCCCAGGGGGTGAGTGTGGGGGGCCGGCCGGCTCCAGGGGGTGAGTGTGGGGGGCTGGCTAGCTCTCCCGAGACCCCTCATTCAGGTGCTCTCATTGATGTCTGCATCGGAAGGAAATGGCCTGCCTTTTTCCCCTCTGTCCACTCCCTAACTTTAATACTCTCCTCTGAGTGGCATCTGTGCTGTGACGGGCGGCTTGCTCTGTGCTCTCTCTGTAAAGGGTTCCGTTCGGGCTTGAAGCGTTTGCTCAGGAGCGTCCAGCCTTGGCCTCTGCGTGTGACCGGTCCCGGGAACCAGATGGCAGAGCACTGCGCCTGGTCCCTGTGGGGAGAGGCCGGGGGCTCCGAGGGCAGTGGGAGGCAGGGACGCAGCTTCCCTGCCAGGCGGGGGCGGCGTCCTCCTCCGGGAACTCACATGCCCGGGGCAGACGTGGATTAGAACCATGTTGGCTGCAGTGTCATGTAGGTAACGTGTGCATTTCGTTCAGAGGAGCCTGACACATGGCACTGGCTGGTAAGCTACATCACACGTCCACAGCCTTGTCCCAGTCACACACGTAGCCTGGACCATGCGCCATAATGCGGCTCAGGCGGCCATGCCCTGAGCCCGCTCAGCAGACAAGCTTGGTGAATGTTGTTCGCTCTCCCCCCTTCACACAGTGTTGAAGCAAAAGACCACACACACACACACACACACACAAACATGCACACAAACACACATATACATACAAACATGCACATACACAAATACATACGCATACACACATGCACGCACACAAACACACAAACATGCACACAAACACACCACACATATACACACAAACATGCACACAAAAACACACAAATACGTACACACACATACACACACACACAAACACATATACACACAAACATGCACAAAAACACACAAACACCCATATACACGCGCACACACACACACAGCCAGAGGAAAGCCCACAGGAGACTGTGCAGCGTGTGCTTTCTCTGCCACGAAGGGCCTTCCATCCCATGCAGCCCTGTCCTGGGCCGAAGGCGTGTTGCAGAGAGGGAAGGGTGTGTGTGTGACAGTCCAGCTGGCGCGCTATCGGAAAAGCCAGGATTTCATTCAGCCCCTTCCTCTCGCACCCGTGCCCGCCCTGCTGGGCCAGGCGGACCCCCAGAGAAACAAGAACTCGGGGGTCAGTCCGCCCAGAGCAGGCGGCAGGCGTGCTGGGCTGCGGGGCGTGGAGGGGTCAGCTTTCTCCTCCCGCTCCCAGGAGGCGGGAGGGACCGTGTCTGTGTCCTCACGCCCTCTGAGGGGCCCGAGGCGGGCATGCTGCGGGGCCGGCCGGCTCCCCGCAGGACCAGCGTGAGGTCATGGTGTGCTCAGAGGCGGGATGGCGATCGCAGGAGCTCCAGGAAGGAAGGGGCAGAGTCTGTTTCCTGGGCGGTCCCTCCCGGCGCTTGCTCTGTTGTTTCTTAAACATGTTTATTGATTGTTGTTTTTCAGAGAGGAAGGGAGAGGGAGAGAGAGAGAACCATCAATGAGGAGAGAGAATCCGGGATCCGCTGCCTCCTGCATGCCCCCTCCCTGGGGATCGAGCCCGCATCCCGGGCCTGTGCCCCAACCGGGACTGTGCCCGAACCGGGACCTCCTGGTGCACAGCTGGACGCCCGGCCCCTGAGCCCCGCCGGCCGGGCGGAGCTTGGCCTGTTCACAGACACCGGCCGCTGACTCCGGCCGGAGCCTCGGCAGCTTCGCTCCCGGGACGTCCCTTTTCTGCTCGGAGCCGGTGCGCTGCGGTGACCACCACCGTGGCATCGTGGAAAGAGGGAAAGAGACCTGGTCCCGGGGGTCCCGGGCCAAGGGAGTCCCCCTGTGTCAGAGCCCCGTCCGGTCCGTTCTGAAAACTGTCCCCAGGACGCGGCCCCCTCCCGGCGCCGGACGGCTGTGGGGCACCATCAGCCCAGGTGGGGCGCGGCGGGGCCGTTCCTGACGGGGGGGCGGGGCGGGGGTCGCCCATGGGTTACTCAGGGGGCGGGGGAGGTCGCCCATGGGTTACTCAGGGGGCGGGGGGGGGTCGCCCATGGGTTACTCAGGGGGCGGGGGGGGGTCGCCCATGGGTTACTCAGGGGGCGGGGGGGGGGGTTTGCCCATGGGTTACTCAGGGGGCGGGGGGGTCGCCCATGGGTTACTCAGGGGGCGGGGGGGGGGGTCGCCCATGGGTTACTCAGGGGGCGGGGGGGGGGTCGCCCATGGGTTACTCAGGGGGCTGGGCGGGGGTCGCCCATGGGTTACTCGGGGCGGGGGGGGGTCGCCCATGGGTTACTCAGGGGGCTGGGCGGGGGTCGCCCATGGGTTACTCAGGGGGCGGGGGGGGGTCGCCCATGGGTTACTCAGGGGGCGGGGGGGGGGGGTCGCCCATGGGTTACTCAGGGGGCGGGGGGGGGGGTCGCCCATGGGTTACTCAGGGGGCGGGGGGGTCGCCCATGGGTTACTCGGGGGGCGGGGGGGGGTCGCCCATGGGTTACTCAGGGGGCGGGGGGGGGCGCCCATGGGTTACTCAGGGGGCGGGGGGGGGTCGCCCATGGGTTACTCAGGGGGCGGGGGGGGGGTCACCCATGGGTTACTCAGGGGGCGGGGGGGGGGTCGCCCATGGGTTACTCAGGGGGCGGGGGGGGGGTCGCCCATGGGTTACTCAGGGGGCGGGGGGGGTCGCCCATGGGTTACTCAGGGGGCGGGGGAGGTCGCCCATGGGTTACTCAGGGGGCGGGGGGGGGTCGCCCATGGGTTACTCGGGGGGCGGGGGGGGGGTCGCCCATGGGTTACTCGGGGGGCGGGGGGGGGTCGCCCATGGGTTACTCAGGGGGCGGGGGGGGGTCGCCCATGGGTTACTCGGGGGGCGGGGGGGTCACCCATGGGTTACTCAGGGGGCGGGGGGGTCGCCCATGGGTTACTCAGGGGGCGGGGCGGGGGTCGCCCATGGGTTACTCAGGGGGCTGGGGGGGGTCGCCCATGGGTTACTCACGGGGCGGGGGGGGGTCCGCCCATGGGTTACTCAGGGGGCGGGGGGGGTCGCCCATGGGTTACTCAGGGGGCGGGGGAGGTTGCCCATGGGTTACTCGGGGCGGGGGGGGGGTCGCCCATGGGTTACTCAGGGGGCGGGGCGGGGGTCGCCCATGGGTTACTCAGGGGGCGGGGGGGTCGCCCATGGGTTACTCGGGGGGCGGGGGGGGGGTCGCCCACGGGACCGCGGCGGGAAGCGGGAGCCGGTGTTCAGGCCGCCCCGCGGGGGGATGCGTTGCCTCGCGTTGTTTTCCCCGTGGACGTGGCGTTGTCGGTGGAAAAGAAACGGGGCCGCCAGACGCTTCCAGGCAGTGCTTTCCGCGCTCCCCCTGGGGCGCTGGGCCCATCGGAGCTAAGAAAGGAGAAGGAGAGAACCTGGAAGTGAGTTTGGGAAGAAGGTTCCACCTCCCGGTTTCCTTTAAGCTTCGCCAACGCCCTCCTCCCCCTCGGAGCTGTGGTCCGGTGCGCTCCATACGCAAAGGGACTCGCTGAGGTAACTGGCGTCTCCCTCTCGGCCTGAGGTTCGAGTTGCAAAGGGACATTAAGCACCGTCTCCGCTGTGTTTGGAAACCGGGAGGTCATTGCTAGTGGCCGGGGAACTCTGAAAGACCAAAATAAAAACCACGGAGTTGGCATACCTCTTGGATGCTGAATTCAGTTAAGTTCAAATTTCCTAAGCTCTGCTCTGCCTGGCCGGTGTGGCTCAGTGGTCAAGCACCGACCTATGAACCAGGAGGTCAGGGCACATGCCCAGGCTGCAGACTTGATCCCCAGTGGGGGGCGTGCAGGAGGCAGCCGATCCCTGATTCTCTCTCATCATGGATGTTTCTCTCTCTCTCTTCCTCTCTGAAATCAATACAAATGTACTTTTAAAAAACCCAGACGTCCTCCGGTAAGAATTTGAGACTAAAGCTGTGTGTGACGGTGACCCTGGCTGCGGCTCCGGGAGCAGCTGGCGGCCGTGGGTGTCACCTGGGACGGAATGCAGAGGGCGCTGAGCCAGGGCGATTGCCCGCGGCCGGCCCTGTGACAGGAAACACTGCGTGTCAGAGCCACTGGCTCCGGCTCCGCGTGTCCTGAGGGAGACTTCGGAATCTCTCCCTCCGGCCTCCTGGTTATGAAACCGCTTCCTGTGCTTTGCACACGTCGCTCACAGCGGGAAGGACCGGGTGCGCGAGTTTGGTCTGTGCGTGAGTGAGGATGTGCGTGGAGGCCGTCCTGCCAGCACCCCCACCCCCCCACCCCAGGGCAGAGGTCTGAGCCCACACCAGGAGGGCGATTTCCCTCCCTGCACGGCCTGCCGTGCGTGTGGCTGGCTGAGCTGAGCAGGCTTTGGGAGACATGGACTCGTGTGTGTGTGTGTGTGTGTGTGTGTGTGTGTGTGTGTGTGTGGAGGTGCAGGGGGGCATTGGGCAACCTCACCTCACGTGCCACGTGGTCATTGAGTCGCTGTGACTGAACCGTGTGGCTCCGTGTCTGCAGAGTCGGAACGTCCACGCCTCCAGAAACTGCTTTCCAACCTTGGAAGTGTGCTTGTTGGCGCCACCTATGGGCCAGACATGCAGCGTGCGTCCTTTGGGCTCACCTTTGGGATTTTCCGATTATGAAACTGCTCTTTTAAAGTCTTTGCTTTTAGTTAATTTGACTTGCAGAAATGTTGCAAGAAGAGTACAAAGAATTTCTGATTTCCCAAAGGCGAACATTTTTCTATATTTGTTTTATCCTTCTCGATTTCTGTTTTTTTGTTTTGTTTTTTTGGTGTGTGTGCACTTAATATACACACACATATGTATTCATTCTTTGCATATATAGGGTTTTAAAAATAGTTTTGTGTATATATGCATATTCTATAAACATATAGGGTTTTAAAAATAGTTTTGTGTATATATGCATATTCTATGTATATAGACATCTAATGTTACTGAATTGCTACAATCTTTAAGAGTTGGATGTACACACGTATGTACAAATCACGCATACATGCATATCACACATACACACACATTCTCCGCCCTCAGCTGTCAGGCGTGACTCCTCCGCCCTCTGCTCACCCCATCGTGTAAGGCGCACACCGCCCCTCGGCCTCCAGGGCTGACCCCTCCTGGCTCTCCCTGAGCCTGCCCAGCGCCTGCCCTCGGCTCTCGGCCCCGAGCTCCTGGCAGTGGCTCTGTGGAGTCCCCTCCCGGCAGTGCCGTCTCCCTCAGCGGCATCTCGGCCAGACGTCCGGCCTCCTGACCGGAGACCCCGTGCTGGCCTCCCCGTGGACACCCCGCGCCTGAGCCCGGCTCTGCTGCCGCACCAGGATGTCGCCCCACGTTCTCTCCGGCCAGGCGTGGGGCCCAGATAACATATATGCTTCTAGGGCAGCGGTTCTCAACCTTCCTCATGCCGAGGCCCTTTCACACAGCCCCTCATGGTGTGTGACCCCAACCATAACATTATTCTCGCTGCTACTTCACAGCTGTCGTGTTGCTGCTGTTATGAATCGTAATGTAAACAACTATGTTTTCCGATGGTCGTGGGCGACCCTGCTAGCGGCATTAGAAAGGGCTGAGAACCGCTGTTCTAATGTATTCGCTTCATTTTTTAATGTAAAAAAGGGTCTTTGTTGATTTCTAGAGAGAGGAGAAGGGAGAGGGAGAGAAACATAGACGTGAAAAAGAAACATCCAATTGGCTGCCTCTTCTGTTAGGCACCCCAGCCAGGGACCGAGCCTGCACCCCGGGCATGTGCCCCGACCGGGAATCGAACCGCGACCTTCTGGTTCACAGGGCAGCACTCAACCACCGAGCCACGCCATCCGGCAGGGATTCCGCCAGAAGCTTGATAAGAACCGAGGGAGTTGGTGGCCTGGTGGCCCTGGTGCCACAATCCGCTGCCCCCTGCCACCGGCCCCCGCTCAGCATGATGGGAATTCTGCCCGAGGGGGGTGTGGCCAGAGCTGCAGCTCTTCTCCGTCCGCTGTCCGTCAGGGACGCAGCGTCTCCCCAGCAGGTGAAGCCCGCCGGCCGTTCTCATTGCTCAGGCTGCGTGGCTGAATTCCTGGCTCAGGTGGCTCAGGGGCCGGGCTCCGGTGGGCCTGGGTGCCGTGGGCATCTCGGCGGCTGTGGACAGCACCGTCATGTTGCCCCGGGGCCACACCGCTGTGTCCTGTGCTCTGTGCCCAGCACGCCGAACCCTACCACGTGGTCAGCGAGCTTGGGAGCGGTTTCCACTTTTGGCATTTCTGTCGCTATTCCCAGGTCTGTGTAGATTGGTTCGCTGGTGGCAAAATGGCTGATGGAGTCGGAAATTAATTTCGCCAGCTACTTATAAATCGTGCTGCGCTTGCCTTTTTTTTTAATGTGAAAGTGCAGAATCTCATAGATTTCAAAGGACGCCGCGTCCAGAGCAGTCCGCCCCACTTCCTGGGAGCTGAGAGCCCGCCCCCCGCGACGGGCCCTGAGGTGTGACGGCCCCTCGCCTGCCTTCCCGGGCGGCGTCACAAAAACGGTGCTGCTGGTTACACACTCTGATCGACTGGCGACGGGGCCGTGAATGGAAACTACAGACCAGCCCCTGACAGTTGGGTCTTAAACATCTAGGCGGATTGTTAAAAAGTTCAGGGTAGTGAGCGTTTCTTCTGATGAAGGGGCCCGGTCTCCCCTTAGCAATCTTATTCTGGGGACTTCTGTTACCGGCCAGAAAAAAAGGGGGATTGTAAAACCCGACGGATGGACCTGTTCTGTGAAATTAAAATTGTCGCCTGATTCTTTGGCTTCTGTTGTTGGAAATCCCCGTTTCTCAAAAAACTCTCCCTGAACTTTCAACTTCCCTCCGTCAGTAACACGTCCCCTTACTTTAACATGCTGTTTCCGCGCTGACCCATGCTGCCTACAGTCCATGTGTACGCACGCTTTCCTTAATTTTCACTGAGTTTATGGGGGTGACGTTGGTTAACAGACTCACAGGGGAGTCAGGTGCGCAGTGCTCCGGTCCCTCCCCTGGATGCGGCGGTGCGTGTTTTGTCTGCGTTAACGGAAATGGCCCGTGACCCTGCGCCCTCGTCTGTTCCAGGCCTGGCCGTGGCCCTGCAGCTGCTGCACGGAGACCTGGAGCAGATCCGCAGGGAGTACCCGTCGGTGTTTTCCCACGGCGTGTCCATCACCAGGAAGCTGGGCTTCTCCAACATCATCATGCCGGGTGAGCGGCTCGCGCGGCACCACCCGGGGCGCGTGGGCGGGTTCCGTCCGTGTCTGACCCTCGAGACAGTTTTCCGATGCTGACGCGTGCAGGTGGCGATGCTGACGGAGGAGAGGAGGCGCAGCAAGCCCTCGCTGACTGCCGTCGGCGGGTTCTGCGACGTTAGGCAAAAGCACGTAAAACGAAGCCAGTTCTTCCGCAGGCGAACCACGGGTAGAAACGGGTTCCGTGTCTGCGGCATCTCATCAGTCTAATGACGAAAGGACGCGACTCGGGGACCTGCTGTGTGTGATAGGAAGCAGCCGTGTTTTAAACGTGCCTATGCTTGGATTATGTGAGGACAGGTGTCCTGGGAGGCGTGGCTGCGCGTCTTTGTGTCTGAGATCAGAGGGAACGTGGAGCTCCTGTCCGGAAAATGTTCCCCTCGGGCGGGAAGTGTCTGGGAGGTTGCTGAGAGGAAGCCCTGTAGGTTTAGAGGAGTTACTGAGCAACATTTAGCCTTTCTTGGAGGATTTTGTCACCAGACATACGTGTGTGTGTGTCTGTGTGTGTGTGGACAAAACACACTCCGGAAAGTGTTTCTCGGTGGAGGAGATGGCGAGAAGGGGGTTCGTAGTCTTTTTAGTGGGGTGGTCACGTTGTAAGGTTTTAAAAATGTCAAATTGCTATATTGTGCACCTGAAACTAATATAACCCATATAATATTATATACCAGCTACACTTAAATTATTTTTAAGATCAGGAGGAAAGGAGATTCACACTCTTTTTTTTTTATAAAGTACTAGAGGCCTGGTGCACGAAATTCATGCACTTGGGGGTACCCAGCCTGTACCCTCTCGCAGTCTGGGAGCTCTCGGGGATGTCTGACTGATAGCTTAGGCCCACTCCTTGCTCAGTCACAATCAGCTGGACGCCAGCAGCAGCAAGCTAACCTACTGATTGGAGTGTCTGCCCCCTGGTGGTCAGTGCATGTCATAGCGAGAGGTTGAGCCGCTAGCATATCATGAGTATATTACACTTTGACTGGTTGAACATATGCTGGACACAGCCTATTAGGCTTTTATCACATAGGATATTTTTATTGATTTCAGGGAGGAAGGGAGAGGGAGAAATAGAAACATCAATGCTGAGAGAGAATTGTCCATCAGCTGCTTCCTGCACGCCCCCTACTGGGGATCGAGCCCGCAACCTGGGAACGTGCCCTTGACCCGAATCGTACCCAGGACCCTTCAGTCCACAAGCCGATGCTCTGTCCACTGAGCCACACCAGCCAGGCGAGATTCACACTCTTAAAGCAGAAGCCAAGCGGTAGTGTTTTCTCAGAGCCCCACAGCCCCTCCTCCACCAGGAAGACGGTGGAGAGAGCAGATGCAGAGGCTGCGGGCGCCCACGGGGTGTGCAGAAAGCAGGTTGTCTTGGTCACAGTCAAAACCACAGCGTGAGGGGCGGGTGCTCTGAGCGGCCCAGGCACAGCCGAGAGGCGCTGTGAGCGAGGCCCTGACCTGGAGCCAAGACCGACCGCGCTGTGCGCCGCGTCCTGTGGCCTCCCGGTGGGAATCGCCCTGAGGCCGGGAGAACGGCCGGAGTCTCTGGCCTGGCCCTGTGCCGCGGGGCCCAGCCCTCATGCCGTGCGTGGGGCCGGGAAACGCTGCGCACAGAACGGGTGACTCCGTGGCGGGTAACTCCGCTCCTTTTCCTGCTGCGCTATAAATACCTGGTATTTCCTCTTTAACAAGAGGGAATCTGTCATCCCCCTGGGGATCCACTGGACGGGCAGACCTGATACAAAAAGCACATTTACCGGGGAACGCAGCCGGCTGGGTCTCTGGGCCGATGTCTGAACTGCCGCCCGGGGCCGGTGCCTGGAAAACTGTGAAGCCACTCCGGGGCCTGAGTCACTGTCTGGGACGTGCTGCCCGGGCGCGTGGGTCCGCTCCTGTGCGGGACGGGAACTGCCTGTGGAGTCAGGCTCGCTCCGGGCCCTTCCCACCCCGACTAACCAGCGAGGTGCCCGCTGTCCTGGGGCCTGGCCTCCCCCGTCTGCAGCGCCCACAGGCGAGGGATGGGTTCTTTGTTTGTGTGTTCATTCCCACCCGAGGATATTTTCCCATTGGTTTTTAGAGAGCGTGGAGGGGAGGGGAAGAGAGAGAGGAGAGAGATGTTACAGTACACGAGTACATGTTCCAGTACACGAGTGTGTTCTGAAGTGTCAGGCAGGCTTCTTGTCATCTTGTCGCCGCACCTCATAAATGACAGGAGGGAAACACTGGGACATGGGGGCATCGGACAAGGCCTTGCACCTCACCCCCAGGGGCCCCTCCTGGGGGCACACGCTCCTGGCTGCACCTGTGGCCTGCGGAGGCGGCCTGCGGGCGCGGAGCCTGGCAGGAGGGGGCGCCCTTCCTTTCCCAGGAGAATACGTAGAACAGGAGTGTGGGGCAGCTGCGCGTCCTGACGGGGCGCTCCCCGAAGGCCTTGATGGCCCCGGAGCAGAGTGAGACGGCTCCCCCCCCCCACCCCCAGGTGAGATGAGGAACGACCTGTACATCACGGTGGAGCGCGGCGAGTTCGAGAAGGGCGGCAAGAGCGTGGCCAGGAACGTGGAGGTGACCATGCTCGTCGTGGACAGCGGCGGCCAGACCCTGAAGGTGAGCAGGGTGTGGGCCGGGCGGCTCCGGCCGGCGCCTCGGGCTCGTCCGGGGCGAGGTCCGTTCACTCAGTCATTAAAAGGCCCTTCAGAAGGGAACGTGGCAGAGCCGAAAGGCTTGTACAGTTTGATGTTTAATTAACCGTGCCTACCGTTCCCCCTGGCCGCCCTTCTGTAAGGACAGTATTTGAAAGCCGTTTCGCATTCCCCTTCGCCGGCCATAGCTTAGGAGACAGTACTGTCCTTTGGCCGTTGGCAAACACAGAACCTCACTCCTCTCGTCCTCGTGTTGGTGTTTTGGCCGAAGGAAGGCGGGAGCCGGGTGTGAGGGTGGGGAGAGGGGTGGAAGGGCTCTGTGTGAGCCCAGGCCCCTGAGCCGCCCCATGGGGGAGGGCGGCGAGCTCTGCCGTGGACTCGACCTTCACGCTGGCCGTGCCCTGGCCCGCCTCGCCCACGTCTCCGAGTCCCACCGGAGCCCGGGCCCAGCCTGGCAGAGCCCAGCCCGTGGCCCGGTGTGCGGAGCGGGCGGCCCCGCGGCGATCCCGGCCGCACTCACAGCCCTCCCGGCCGCTGACCCCCGCTCCCGCCAGGACTTCGTCTCCTTCGGCTCCGGGGAGCCGCCGGCCAGCGAGTACCGCTCCTTCGTGCTCTACCACAACAACAGCCCGCGCTGGGCCGAGCTGCTGAAGCTGCCCATCCCCGTGGACCAGTTCCGGGGCGCGCACGTCCGCTTTGAGTTCCGGCACTGCTCCAGTGAGTGCGCCTGGCGGGCTGGGGCGCGTGGAGGGGGGCGCGTGGAGGGGGGGGCCCATGGAGGGGGGGCCCAGGGAGGGGGGGGGCGTGGAGGGGGGCGCGTGGAGGGGAGGGCCCATGGAGGGGGGTCCGTGGAGGAGGGGGCCCGTGGAGGGGGGGTCCCGGGGAGGAGGGGGCCCGTGGAGGAGGGGGCCGGTGGAGGGGGGAGTCCCGTGGACGGGGTCCCGTGGAGGGGGGGTCCCGGGGAGGAGGGGGCCCGTGGAGGAGGGGTCCTGTGGAGGGGGGGCCCGTGGAGGGGGGTCCCAGGGAGGGGGGGCGTGGAGGGGGGGCCCATGGAGGGGGGTCCCAGGGAGGGGGCGCGTGGAGGGGGGCACGTGGAGGGGGGGCCCATGGAGGGGGGCCCGTGGAGGGGGGGTCTCGGGGAGGAGGGGGTCCCATGGAGGAGGGGGCCTGTGGAGGGGGAAGTCCCGTGGACGGGGTCCCGGGGAGGGGGGGTCCCGGGGAGGAGGGGGTCCCGTGGAGGAGGGGGCCCGTGGAGGGGGGATCTCGTGGAGGGGGGGTCCCGTGGAGGGGGGTCCCGTGGAGGGGGTGTCCCGTGGAGGGGGGTCCCGTGGATGGGGGGGCCTGTGGAGGAGGGGGTCCCGTGGACGGGGTCCCGGGGAGGGGGGGTCCCATGGAGGGGGGGGTCCGTGGAGGGGCTTGCGTGGAGGGTGGGGTCCTGTGGAGGGTGGGGTCCTGTGGGGGGGGGGTGTCCCATGGAGGAGGGTTGCGGGCGCCGGAGCGCAGGGTCTGATGGCTGCACGGGGTCATCGTCCCTCTGTGGCCACTCCGAACCGCCCACAGGATGGCGCCGACTGCTCTGGTGCTCAGGGCGGCCGCTCCCACGTGCCACGAGCATTTGGATATTTGCAGGTCCAAGAGGCTGGGCAGGGTTTCTAAGTAGTCAGCGTAGAGCAGTGGTCAGCCACCGAGGCCTGCTGGCCGGGCTGGAGACCTCTTCCCATGAGGAGCAAGCGAAACACTGCACTTCAATGTACTCGCTCACATGTGCCGTCACAGGTGTTTCTCCAGCACTTCCTACGGCCTTGGCACTCACTCCTGGAGGCACCAGGCTTAGAGTAAAACACAACAGAGAAGAAACCTGCCCTCGTGGAGCCTGAATCCCACGTGGGGGGTGGGACGTGATAAGGAAAGGGCGAGCCCTGACCGGTGTGGCTCAGTGGATAGAGCGTCGGCCTGCGGACTCAAGGGTCCCAGGTTCGATTCTGGACAAGGGCATGTACCTTGGTTGCAGGCACATCCTCAGTAGGGGGCGTGCAGGAGGCAGCTGATCGATGTTTCTCTCTCATCGATGTTTCTAGCTCTCCCTCTCCCTTCCTCTCCGTAAAAAAATCAATAAAATGTATTTTAAAAAATCCTTTAAATTAAAAAACAGACAGAAAGGGGCGATACACAAGTTAAAAGAGAATACCCGTCGTTTCAGACAGTGAGCCCCGGGAGCAGGTTGGTCAGGAGAGGAAATTGTGCCGAAGGGGCGGGCGGGGGCACGGGGGCCGCTGCAGACAGAGCTCCACTGATGCCCGGGAGCCGCTGAGGGCGGCTGGATCCGTGTCCGCGCCCTCGCCGCTGTGTCTGACCCGGGCCAGCAGGGGCTTCCCTGAGCCGTACGCCGTCCGTCTCCGTCTCTCCACAGCGAAGGAGAAGGGCGAGAAGAAGCTGTTCGGCTTCTCCTTCATCCCCCTGATGCAGGAGGATGGCCGGACGCTCCCGGACGGCACGCATGAGCTCATCGTGCACAAGGTGAGGCAGCGGGGCCGGCGGGGCGGGCGGGGGCGGGCGGGGCCGGCAGGGGGGGCGGGGGGGCGGGGGCGGCGGGCGGGCGAGCGACGGCGGGGCGGGCGAGCGGCGGGGCCGGCAGGGGTGGCAGGGCGGGCGAGCGGCGGGGGCCGGCGGGGCAGCCCTGTGGCCCCCACTGTGCCGGGCTCCGCGTGGAACCACCAGTGGCTTAGGGCGGAGCTGGGTTTGCCCGGGGTGACACAGCCCGCTGTCCGCTCCGGGCAGTGTCGTTTCTTTGTGCTTTACGATCAGCTAGCTCAGCCCAGCTGGTGTGGCGCAGTGGTTGCACCAAGAGGTCACCCCTGTGATTCCCTCTCAGGGCACAGGCTCAGGTCACAGGTTCGACCCCCAGGAGGGGGCATGCAGGAGGCAGCCGATCCATGCTTCTCTCTCATAGAGGTTTCTTTTTTTATTTTCTTAAGTATATCTTATTGATTTTTTTACAGAGAGGAAGGGAGAGAGATAGAGAGCTAGAAACATCGATGAGAGAGAAATGTCGATCAGCTGCCTCCTGCACACCCCCCACTGGGGATGTGCCTGCAACCAAGGTACATGCCCTTGACCGGAATCGAACCTGGGACCTTTCAGTCTGCAGGCCGACGCTCTATCCACTGAGCCAAACCGGCTTCGGCTCTCATAGATGTTTCTGTCTCTCTCTCCCTCTCCCTTCCTCTCTGAAATCAATAAAAACATGTAAAAAAAACAAACAAACAAAAAACCACCTCCCGGTGCTGTGTGAGTGAGGGACACGCCGGAAGCCTCCGAGGACGCGGAAGGCCAGGCCGGCAGGCAGACGGGCAGCGTCGGTGGGAGGCTCGCCGTGGAGGGGTCGCCCTGGGCAGGCCCGCATGGGTGCGCCGGCAGCCGGCCCGCGCCCGGGCCCTGGTCCTCTCGCAGGAGGAGAGGTGGGCCCCTCCGCGGCACCCCGGGTGTCCGTCTCCTCTGTCGCGTTCCCGCTGGGTTTGGCGCGGAATGACGACCCTGGCCTAGAGGGAGAGCTGCATGAGGAGCGGGAAGCCGCCTGTGTTAGATCTGCCGCTCCCGGTCAGCGGCGTTTCTGGGCGGGAGAGAGCCCCTCGGCATGGGTGTCCCATTCCCCCTCAATGCCGACTCCTTCCTTCGTCACCCTCCAAGGACGGAGTTGGCTACAAGCTGCCTCAGAGGAGCTGTGGAAAGAACTTGAGGAGGGGGAAAGGAGAAACAATTGTAATAATCTGAACAATAAATATTTATAAAAAAAAAAAAAAAAAGAAAAAGAAAGCGAAAAAAATACTCCTAGCCCGGAATGGTTTGGCTCAGTGGATAGAGAGTCGGCCTGCGAGTCCTGGGTTCGATTCCGGTGAAGGGCATGTACCTTGGTTTCAGACACATTCCCAGTAGGGGGTGTGCAGGAGGCAGCTGATCGATGTTTTTCGATCATCGATGTTTCTAACTCTCTGTCCCTTTCCCTTCCTCTCTGTAAAAAAAATCAATAAAATGTATTTTGAAAAAGAAAAAGAGAAAGAAAGAACTTGAGCATTTTCCCCAAAACCCCATGCTGACCCATCCGAGGCCTTGAGCACCTGCAAGCCCCGTGCACAGCGCTCGCTCCTGTGTCCTGCTTCTCCTGACGCACAGGGCTCAGAGCGGGCAGGCCGTCCCCCGGGCTAAGGACCATGGACAGCCCCTCGTGGGGGCCGTGACAGAGCTGGGGGTCCCCCAGTGGGTCCCGCCCGACCCCGAGCCTTTTCCTCTCCACGCCTCTGCTGCATGTCCCCTCGTGCTTCTGCCTGGAGTGGCTCCGGGCCACAAGCACGGCCCCGGACACCGTGCTCAGTGGTTCTCCGGAGGCCCCTTCACCCCCTTACCTCTGTTTCCGCGCAGTGCGAGGAGAACACCAACCTCCAGGACCCGGCCCGCTACCTCAAGCTCCCCTTCTCCAAGGGCCTGCTCCTGGGGACCGGCACCCCCGCCCCCAAGGCCACGAAGGAGTCCTTCTGGATCACGTCCTTCCTCTGCTCCACCAAGCTCACCCAGAACGGTAGTGCCCGCCCCCGGCGAAGGGCTGCGTCAGGGCGGGGGGCTGGTGGGCATCGTCGGTCGCCCGCCTGCCGTTCGGATGCTGGAGACGGGCCCCACCCCTCCGGGGGGGATGCCCAGTGACACGGAGACCGTCCTGACCCAGGCTCTGTGCCATGCATGTCCTGCCAGGGCCTCAGAATGACCCGGTGTTGGAGCCCACGTGCACAGCTCTCCCCATCAACCCTGGAAACCCACCTGCTTAAAAAGAAGAGAGTGTGGCTCAGTGGTTGAGCATTGACCTACCAACCAGGAGGTCACGGTTCTACTCCCGTTTCAGGGCACATGCGTGGGGCAGCCCATTGAAGATTCTCTCTCGTGTTTCCATCTCTCCCTCTCCCTTCCTGTCTGAAATCAATAAAAATGTTTTTTGAAAAAATGAGAGAGAGAGAGAGAGAGAGAGAGAGAGAGAGAGAGAGAGAGAGAGAGAGAGAACCCTGCCGCCTTCCTCCCTCTGCTTGTCTGGCCCATGAACTCGGCCGCGGCAGCTGTGGAATAAAGCTGGTTTGTGTCCATCAGGCGGGTATGGCCTGTGTCGAGGTTCCCGCTCTGGGGCAGGGATGCTTAGGAAGCGAGGAGGCAAGGCGATCTGTGGGCAGACGGTCCTGAAAGCCAGGCCTGTGGTGCGGGAGTCAGTACACACGCCCGGCTCTTCTCGTGGCCACGTAACGCGTGGACGGGTCCTGCCTCGTGCTGAGGAGGGGCCCTCGCAGGCAGGCATCGCGCCTCGGACGCCCGTGCCTGCGCAGCGCTCGGAGCTCTGGTCTCGGAGGCCCCGAGGGGCGGTGGTGGCGGGAGAGGATGCGGGCATCGGGCACAAGGTGCCCTGTCAACACGGGCCCTTTGCTCACGCCCCTGAGTCCGCGGGCCAGCCTCTGTTTCTGTCTCTCCGCTGATCTTCGTTTCGGCTGCTCCCCGTCCAGTGTGTTTCCGGAGGTGTATGTTTTAAAACCAGCAGCTCCCTTTATTTTGGGGAAAATGGACGGAAGCCTGTTGGCCCCAGGTTAAGAGACGCCACGCTGCCCCAGGCTTGGTCCGTCATGGGCCAAGGCGCTCCCTACAAGACGCGTCGGTAGAGCTCTGTGCTGAGCATCCAGCGTTTCCTAAACCGGGAGCGCTCTGGGGGCGAGTCCCCCGCCCTGGCGGTTGTGGGTGCCGGGAACGCAGCACGGCCGAGCCGGCTGAGACGGGCATTTCTGTTCTGTCCGAAGGCGACATGCTCGACCTGCTGAAGTGGAGAACCCACCCCGACAAGATCCCCGGCTGCCTCTCGAGGTTAAAGGAGATCGACGGCTCCGAGATCGTCAAGGTACGCGCGGTCCCTGTCCCGCTGGGGCCCTCAGGGTGGGGCTGGTCAGAGGGGAAGGGCAGCCCCCCTAACCCTAATCCTAACCCCCCTATTCCTAACCCTAACCCTAACCCTAACCCTATTCCTAACCCTAACCCTAACCCTAACCCTATTCCTAACCCTAACCCTAACCCTAACCCTATTCCTAACCCTAACCCTAACCCTAACCCTATTCCTAACCCTAACCCTAACCCTAACCCTAACCATAACACTATTCCTAACCCTAACCCTAACCCTAACCCTTCCTTCTTCTCTCCCTCACAGTTTCTGCAAGACACCCTGGACACCTTGTTTGGGATCTTAGATGAAAACTCCCAAAAGTATGGGTCCAAAGTGTTTGATTCTCTGGTGAGTTTGCATTCACGTTCATGACGTCTTAACCATGTCGCCTGCCCCTCTCCACTCGCCTAAGGCTGTTTCGGAAATGGACACTTAAGTCCTAACCAGTTTGGCTCAGTGGCTAGAGCGTCAGCCTGCAGACTTGAAAGGTCCCAGGTTCGAATCCAGTCAAGGGCATGTACCTTGGTTGTGGGCACATCCCCAGTAGGGGGTGTGCAGGAGGCAGCTGATCAATGTTTTTCTCTCATTGATGTTTCTAACTCTCTATCCCTCTCCCTTCCTCAAATCAATAAAATATATTCAAAAATAATGGACACTTAAGAGGGAGACAATTCACACACACACACACACACACACCCGGGCCTGCCTGTGGATTCCCAGAGCTCGGTTTTCCTTTCAGGTTCACATCATCAATCTGCTGCAAGACAGCAAGTTCCACCACTTCAAGCCGGTGATGGACACGTACATCGAGAGCCACTTCGCGGGGGCGCTGGCGTACAGGTGAGCCCACTCCCGGTGGAGCTGGCACCAAGGCGGCCCTGGCGCACTCCTAAGCGGACCTCCTGCGGGTCTCCCCTGAGCACACCCTCCTGTGTCTCCCCAGACACACCCTCCTGTGTCTCCCCTGACACACCCTCCTGTGTCTCCCCTGACACACCCTCCTGTGTCTCCCCAGACACACCCTCCTGTGTCTCCCCTGACACACCCTCCTGTGTCTCCCCTGACACACCCTCCTGTGTCTCCCCTGACACACCCTCCTGCGTGTCTCCCCTGACACACCCTCCTGGTGTCTCCTCTGATACACCCTCCTGCCTGTCTCCCCTGACACACCCTCCTGGTGTCTCCTTTGATACACCCTCCTGTGTCTCCCCTGACACACCCTCCTGTGTCTCCCCTGACACACCCTCCTGTGTCTCCCCTGACACACCCTCCTGTGTCTCCCCTGACACACCCTCCTGCCTGTCTCCCCTGACACACCCTCCTGCCTGTCTCCCCTGACACACCCTCCTGGTGTCTCCTCTGATACACCCTCCTGTGTCTCCCCTGACACACCCTCCTGTGTCTCCCCTGACACACCCTCCTGTGTCTCCTCTGATACACCCTCCTGTGTCTCCCCTGACACACCCTCCTGTGTCTCCCCTGACACACCCTCCTGTGTCTCCCCTGACACACCCTCCTGTGTCTCCCCTGACACACCCTCCTGTGTCTCCCCTGACACACCCTCCTGCCCGTCTCCCCTGACACACCCTCCTGTGTCTCCCCTGACACACCCTCCTGTGTCTCCCCTGACACACCCTCCTGTGTCTCCCCTGACACACCCTCCTGGTGTCTCCTCTGATACACCCTCCTGCCTGTCTCCCCTGACACACCCTCCTGCCTGTCTCCGCCCTTAGGGACCTCATCAAGGTGCTCAAGTGGTACGTGGACCGGATCACGGAGGCGGAGCGGCAGGAGCACATCCAGGAGGTGCTGAAGGTAACCCAGGACAGACAAGGCCTCTCTGGGCGCCTGGGCATGGCCCTGCCTCAGGGAACGGGCCCCGCCACTCGGATAGGGTGAGGGATGGCGCTCACTGCGCCCCAAGGATCTGACTCGCACCCCCGCTGGCCGCTGCAGAGCCGGGTACACTGGAAGGCACCCGCCAGGCTCGCCCATGTCACCCACCGGGATGAACCCTTCCTCTCGGGTGCCTCCACCCCGGGGTGCGGGCTGGCAGGAGGGCTCAGTGCGAGGAGCGCAGACGGGCGGGCGGGCAGGCGGGCGGGCGGGCGGGCAGGCGGTCAAGCTTGGCCGTTCCCGGCTCTTGCTTTTATCGTCACCTGAGAGCGATTCCCCTTGCCTTTTCGAAGAGAATGGGTGGCTTAGCAGGGACCCCGGGAGGGAGACAGGATTGCCCGGTCTCCGCCTTTAGGCTGCCCGCCTCCTGTGCCACGTGCTCAGGTGCCCGGGAGATGCTGAGCCCTCACTGCACACACGTCCCAGAGAACAAGCTTCTGACAGGGTGGTCCGGGACTGCCCGGTCATCTCCTGATGCCGGCGGTGGGTGCTGCCCGGGTGATGTCGGTGGAGGAGAGTAGACAAGGAGACACTCCATAAAACAGGCATTTTATTCATGATAAATGGATCGTGGGGTCTGCTTGGAGGAAGATACCACCTGTCGAGAGTGCACGCTAGCAAAGCAAAATTACTTCCAAAACAGACTCTTCTTGTTCATTTAAAAATCTCTGAGGATGAAAGCATTTTTTGCCCTGTAGAATTTTTATATTTATGTATTAAACATTTTGTGTAAGTTATCCAATGAGAGTGGACGTTCAGTATTATCCTGGTGCCAGGGGTAGAGCATGGTGGGTAGGCACATGTATCACGTACAGAGCAATGCCCGGATGAGTCTGGGACCCCGGACACTGTGACAACATGACGTAGCTATGCCAGCACTAACGACTCTCCTCCTGCTGCTGTGCTCACCGCCTGCGACTGTCCTGTAACGGCCAGTCCATCCTTCTCCCTCCCTCCCCAGGCCCCGGCCCCGGCCCCCGCCCCCGGCAGCCCCCGGAGGAGTGTTAGATGGTTAGACCTTCTCCCTCGTTAGGCCCAGAGCAGGGAGCTCTCCCACGTGTGCATGCTGCTCAGAGCCTCCCGGTCCTTGGTGTGTGAGTGGGGACGTGCGGTCTCGCGGCGCCGGCTCCCTGCCCGCCCTGTGTCCGGGCTGCCCCTGAGGGTCCCGGTGTTCCGTGTCCGCTGCAGGCCCAGGAGTACATCTTCAAGTACATCGTGCAGTCGCGCCGGCTGTTCTCGCTGGCCACAGGCGGGCAGCATGAGGAGGAGTTCCGCTGCTGCATCCGCGAGCTGCTGCTGTCCGTGCGCTTCTTCCTCTCGCAGGAGAGCAAGGGGGCCGGGCCGCTCTCCCAGTCCCAGGTGCGTCCCTCTCCCTTTAAATGTATCGCCCCTGCCAGCGTGGCTCAGTGGATAGAGCGTCGGCCTGCAGACCAAAGGGTCCCGGGTTCCATTCCGGTCCAGGGCACGTACCTTGGTGGCAGGCACATCCCCATTGGAGGGTGTGCAAGAGGCAGCTGGTCAATGTTTCTCATCGATGTTCCGAGCTCTCTGTCCCTCTCCCTTCCTCTCTGTATAAAATCAATAGAATGTATAAAATAAATAAATAACTAACTAAATAAATAAATGTATTGCTCCGGCCAGCGTGGCTCAGTGGATAGAGCGTCGGCGGGCAGACCAAAGGGTCCCGGGTTCGATTCTGGCCAAGGGCACGGACCTCAGTGGCAGGCTGCTCCTCCGCCCGGGCCCTGATCCAGGCTGATGCAGGAGGCAGCCAAACCATGTGTTTCTCTCTGTCCTTTCCTTCCACTTTCTCTAAAAATCGATGGAAAAATACCCCTGGGTGAGGATTAACCAGCCAACCAAATAAATAATAATATATTTTTATTGATTTCAGAGAGGAAACGAGAAGGAGAGGGAGATAGAAACGTCAGTGATGGGAGAGAATCAGGGACTGGCTGCCTCCTGCACGCCCCACAAGGGGTTGAGCCTGTAACCTGGGCACGTATGTGCCCATGAACCTGCCCTCCTGGTTCACAGGTGGATGCTCAGCCCTGCGCCAGGCGGCCGGGCCTCCCGATGTCTCACAGCTCGCGGCCCAGGCCATGCCGGGAGGTGACCTGCGCTCGTTTCTCTCTCGAAGGCCGTGTTCCTGAGCTCCTTCCCCGCCGTGTACTCCGAGCTGCTGAAGCTCTTCGACATCCGGGAAGTGGCCAACCTGGTGCAGGACACGCTGGGCAGCCTGCCCGCCCTCCTGCACGTGGACGACACACTGCAGGCGGTGAAGCTGCAGTGCATCGGCCAGACCGTGGAGAGCCAGCTCTACACCAACCCAGGTGGGCGCCCCGCAGGCAGAGCACGCCCGTGTTCACAACCCGAGTCCTTCCTCTGAGCTGTTGCCCAGTGCGTTTACCCCCGGGGTGGAGTGAGGGAGATGGGCCTGGAGCAGAGAACCCGATGCTGCTCCATCGTGGACTCGAGCTGCCCGGGAGCAGCCTGGCAGGTTCCTTCTCGGGGGACGGACCGGCCAGAGAAGAGGTCTGAGCTTCTGAAGTGGGGGTTCCGCAGCAAAGCCTCGCCGCCCGCCCAGCAAGCGGAGTGGTCCCTGGTGATGAGGCGTGACCAGGTTCTGTGAAAATCAGAGGCCAGAGGGAAGATACTCCAGGGAGAAAATAAAACAAAACATCAAGAAAATAGCTCTGATTTCCCAGAGACACGCCGTGCAGGCCTGACACGAGGATGGGCGGTGTCGGGAGGTATCACCCCAGGAAGCAGAGGGGAGCGGCCACGTCAGGGAAATGCAGCGTCTGGGCGGAAAATTCCTCTGACTTCCTGGTGGCAGCGACGGCCTAGAGCACGTGGGCCCCTCGGAGGCAGGGCCTGTGTCCCCGTCCAGCTTGCAGGCCCATGACACTGGCCTGGGGAGGGAGAAGGGACCCTCGGAGAGGAAATGCATCGTAGCATGAACAGGGAAACTTAACAGAAGAAGGCTTGGGGGGTAAAGTAAGGAAATAGCCCAGGAAGTTGGACCAAAAAAATAAGATTAAAAAAATAAAAAGTCAGAAAAAGGAGAAGATAGTTTAAGAGATCCAAAAAGAGGGACCTCTCACCCTTTGAGACAGCAGGGAGGGACCTGGAGAGCATTCTGCTGAGCAAACTAAGCCCGCCAGGGAAAGACAAGGACCATGTGATCTCACTCAGATGTGGAATCCAATGACCAAAATACACTGATGAGCAAAACAGATCCCGAGACAGAGACACATGGGACAGACTGAGGAATGTCGGAGGGAAGGGGAGGAGGCGGGAAGGGATTAACCAGAGAACGCGTGTGCACACATGCACAGCCCACGGACAGAGAATAGAGTGGCAGAGGCCCGGGGTCCGGGTGGAGGGTCAGTGGGGATAGAAGGACCTCTGTAATGCTTTGAACATTAGAGGTAAGTTTGAGAGAGAGAGGGAGAGAGGGAGAGAGAGAGAGATTCGTGACGTGCATACAGGCAGAGAGAGAGAGAGGGGGGGGGGGGGGGAGAGAGGGAGAGAGAGGGAGAGAGAGGGAGAGAGAGAGAGATTCGTGACGTGCATACAGGCAAAGTTCCAGACCTAGGACAGGAAGAAATAAAAGGGAAGGAAATCATCACAGCCATCACTCAAGGCAGGTTCCCTGAGCTGAGGGATATGAGCTTACGGAATGAAGAGACCAGGAGACAAGGAATAATCATGAAAGTTTGAATTACCAGGAGTCGTTTCCCAAAAGCTCTCAGAAGGAGATAAACCAAAGCCAAAGAGCATTCCCGCCACGTGCAGAGGGCCGGACATCAATGGCAGCACCCCCGTGTCCATTTCTCCATGCGCCCTGAGTTCTGGGCGGGGCTGGGGAGCCGAGAGGCGAGGGGAATAAACCACCCACGTCCGCCCTTCTAGGCAGCCAGAGGTGACCCATCTCAGTGGAAAAGGCCCGAGAAGCATGTCTTTTTGATATTTATAGGTAAAACAAGCAATTTTTTTTTTAAAAAAAACAACCCTATTTCTTTAAAAAAATATATTTTTATTGATTTCAGAGAGGAAGGAGAGAGAGAGAGAAACATCAATGAGAGAAAATCATGGATCAGCTACCTCCTGCATGCCCCCTATTGGGGGTCAAACTTGCAACCTGGGCATGTGCCCTTGACTGGAATCGAACCTGGGACCCTTCAGTCTACAGGTGGATGCTCTGTCCACTGAGCCAGACCAGCTCAGGCTAAAACCCCCATTTCAATAGAAGGGAAACCCTGTTGCATGCAGGAATCCTGGGTTGGGAAGGGAGCCACTGGCTCTGAGCAGGAACGTGTGGGACTGGTACCTTCTTAGCTACCTGTGCTCACAGTGCATCCACCACCACACTCCTGCTGAGGGGGGGGGGGGCTGTCCCTCCTGCTGAGGATGGGGGGGCTGTCCCTCCTGCTGAGGATGGGGGGGAGAAGGGGCCGTGCAGGGGCGCTGACGGCTCCTCCCGCAGATTCCAGGTGCATCTTGCTGCCCGTGGTCCTGCACCACCTGCACATGCACCTGCGGCAGCAGAAGGACCTGGTGGCCTGCGCGCGCATCCTCAGCAACGTGTTCTGCCTCAGCAAGAAGAACGGCGCGGTGAGTGGCCCCCGTCCCGCGGCCCGTCCGCCCCGTCTGTCCCGTCCGCCCTGTCCCCTCCCGCGGCCCCCGGCCTAACGCTGGGACCTAAAGTCTTCCAAGAACCCCGTGGCGTCACCGCGACGCCCTCCCTTCCGTCTCCGGCGGGTGGGGCTTTGTGTTTTCCCGGAAGGAATGTTTTTCCATCTCGCGGGGTGGCCGTACCCCAAATAACCTGGGTTTCCGAAGCTTGCAGACGGGCAAGCTGACTCGGTCCTGTGTCCATCCCAGGGCCTCACCCCCTTTGCATGTAGGTCTCGGGCACCTGCTGCACAGCCGGTGTGTGTGCCGGCGTGTGTGCTGGTGTGTGTGCTGGTTTGTGTGCTGGTGTGTGTGCCGGTGTGTGTGCCGGCGTGTGTGCCGGCGTGTGTGCCGGAGTGTGTGCTGGCGTGTGTGCCGGCGTGTGTGCCGGAGTGTGTGCTGGCGTGTGTGCTGGCGTGTGTGCCGGAGTGTGTGTGCCGGTGTGTGTGCCGGCGTGTGTGCCGGCGTGTGTGCCGGAGTGTGTGCCGGCGTGTGTGCTGGCGTGTGTGCTGGCCTGTGTGTGCCGGCGTGTGTGCTGGTGTGTGTGCCGGCGTGTGTGCTGGCCTGTGTGTGCTGGCCTGTGTGCTGGGGGCCAGCTCCTCGCTGCCTCCCGCCCTGTGTTCTGCTAGAGAAGATCGCGCCCGTCGGTGGCCAGGGGATGTCCAGGCCGGTGAAGCTCGGCGTTGCCCGCCGCCTCCTTCTCTGCTTGGAAGCGCCCCCCCTTGCCCCCCCTGAGAGCCGAGCGTGCGGTGGGCCGGACGTCCGGACACGAGGGCTCCTCTCTCTGCAGGAGAAGGCCGTGCCAGAGGAGATAGATGTGATCGTGGCCAGCCTGCTGGACATCCTGCTGAGGACCATCCTGGAGATCACCAGCCGCCCGCAGGCCTCCGGCTCCGCCACGCGGCTGCACTTCCAGGACGTCACGGTGAGCGCCCGGCGAACGGCCGGGGCAGGGCGTGTGCGGGTCTCAGCCGAGGTCCCGGGGGGGGTGCTGGGGAATCGGGCTCTGGCCTGGGTGTGACACAGCAGAGTGCGGTCAGAGGGGACTGTGCTCAGCCGGGGCCGGGCAGAATCACACACAAAGGAAGCAGCGTTTGTAACCGCGAGGGTCCGAGTCCCGGGATGGGGGGTGTGGGCTGAGGGCCACGCGTGTTCCTGCGTGAAAGCTGCCTCCCGTGCGGCGAGATGTTGGAAAGGGAACCCGTTACGAGGGTGTTGTGTGTGTTCTTTCCAGCCGGAGAGAGCTTTTTAAAGTTCAAAGAACAGTTGGTGGAAGAACAAAACGTACCGTCCTTCTTAATTTTTTAAAAATATGTTTTTATTGATTTCAGAGAGGAAGGGAAAGGGAGAGAGAGAGAGAGAGATAGGAACATCAATAATGAGAATCATTGATCAGCTGCCTCCTGCACACCCCCTACTGGGGACCGAGCCCACACCATGGGCCTGTGCCCTGACTGGGAATCGAACCAGGACCTCCTGGCTCATAGGTTGATGCTCAACCACTGAGCCATGCTGGCCGGGCCCTCTCTCTTCTTTAAATAAGAATTATAGCACCTGCCTCACAGCATGCATGGTGTGACGAACAAAGATGTGGTAAATGTGCAGTTACTTCCCTAATGAGACACTTTCACCCCAGGGAGGAATTCCTCTCTGAATTTAGAAATTCAGGTACAACAAAGACATAATTGTACAACAAAGAAATTCAGGTACAACAAAAACATGGCTCTCCGGGGTGACATTATGGTGAATTTAGAGCAGGAAGACTCCAAAGGGGGAGTTTGTGTCATAATGGTTTGTGGTTGTTTGTTTGTTTTTAATGTTCTATTTTAGGGTGGTTCAAAGCAAGTCGCTGGTGAGTCTGTGTCCTCGCTGAGAAACATGCTGTCTGTTTGTGTTTTAATTAGGGGGAGTTTGTTGCTTGTCTCCTGTCCCTGTTACGACAGATGACAGACAGGCACTATCAGCAGCTTCTGGATAGTTTCAGCACAAAGGAGGAACTCAGGGTAAGTGACATTTAACTGTGTTTTTAATGTCCCTTTTCAACGTCTCTCGTTCTTCTTCAGCATTGTTCGGCTTTCCTCCTTCCCATCAAACTTGAAGCTGCCTTTTCTCAGCTTCGTCCACGCATCTGCTCACCCGTGTGGGCTCTGTAAGGCGAGCATGTCCAACTTGAGGCCAGCATGCAGCCCGCCATCTGAGGCCTTACATGCTTGCTATAGCGTTTCTGTGCTCATGCAAAGTAACGAACTCTTACCTTGGACAAGAACGTAGCGTGTAAAACACCTGTCATCAACTCGCCACAGGCCAGAAACAGACTGACTGAGCTGTGGAGACCGGAGCCCATGGCCTAACCCTAGTTTGGTGGCCTTGGACTCATCACCCTCAGGAGAGATAAGGGCCCCCTGAGATGTGTTAGCGGGTGCCATCCCTACGAACCCGCCGGGAGAGAGTCCGGCTGCCGGGGGCTGACGCGGGAGGCGGAGCTGTGGCTGATACTCTCGGTCAGCCTGTGGCCTCAGCAGCGTGCTGCGCTCCTCCGACGCGCTGACAGGCAATAAAAAATATTGATGTTCCTAAATATCTTTGCCGAGATCGAGGGCACTTTGCTGCTTCCTTCATGGCGTTCCCTGGAAGCGTGGACGGTGATTGTCCTCAGTGGGAGGAAGGACCTGTCGTCTGTCCTTTTCTTGCTTCTCTCTCTCTCCATCCCTCCAGGTTTCCTCTGGGGATCCAGACATTGCCTCCAGCTTTATCATGGGGAGGTCTGAGCCTGGGGGGTGGCTCGCACATCCCTAAAAACATGGGCGACGCGTCAGGGTTGGCTGACTCCGGTGGATTGGCAGGTCCACGCTCCAGCCTGAGCTCCCTGTTCCTCACGCTTCGCTTCACTCCTGAGTTTAGGATTTCAGTGGGTGAGCAGCGTCGGGCCTCTGCACACAGACGGCCACGCGTGGGGCTGAACAGGAGGACAGGGCTGCGGGGATTGACTCTCGCCCGATGTGGGCGGTGGAGGAGCCACTGTTCGCTCAGGAAGTCGGGACGTCATCGCTGAGCCTCTCCGGTCCTCAGAGTGACTGAGGGCAGCGAGTCCTGCCGTCTCTCCCCCCGCGTGCCGTGGGCGCGTGGCGGGAGGCTCCGTGTCACAGAGGGGCGTGGGCCGGGCCGCAGGCTGCCTCTCGGCCCTGTTAATTCTTCCCTCCTCGGGGACCGGCGTTATTTTAGAAATGAACAAAAGCAGAAAGTAAGACGTGATTAGGGCTTTTTTCCTTCCTTCCGCCGTCAGGAATGGCTCAGTGTACGCCCACCCTCTCCTGCGGGCTGACACTCGTCCTCGCCCCTGGCGTGTGAGTGGGCGGAGAGCCGTAGGGTCCTGCGCGCTGTGGATTATGACTTTCCATGCCGAACTGCGGGGCGGGCTCTAAGGCGTGAGATTTTACATGTTCCGGAAGCTATGTAAAACATTGTAACCTTTCCTGGTCTTTTTGTGTACTGGCTCAAGAACCACATCAGCCAGGCCAGCGTGGCTCAGTGGTGGAGCGTCGGCCTATGAACCAGGAGGCCACGGTTCGATTCCCGGTCAGGGCACAGGCCCAGGTTGTGCGCTCCATCCCCAGTGTGGGGCCTGCAGGAGGCAGCCGATTGATGATTCTCTCATCATTATTGATGTTTCTCTCTCTCTCTCCTTCTCCCTTCCTCTCTGAAATCAACAAAGAAAATATTTTTTTAAAAATCCTATCTGATTAAGCCTCCCTCCAGCTGTAAGCCTTGAGGACTCCCTGTTACCCACCGGACAGAGCCCCGGGTCTCAGCAGGTCTTAGCGGTCCTCAGTCTCTCTTCTCTCCGCAGTTCCTCAGCCACTTTCAGGACAAACATTGTCTGTTCCTAATGAGCCACGTGCATAAGTTTTAACTCACCGGGATCTTCCTTTTGTTTGTTTTGTTTTGTTTTTTGTTAATCCTCAACTGAGGATACTTTTTCATTGAATTTTTAGAGAGAGTAGAAGGGAGGAGGAGAGTCAGAAAGAGAGAAACTTTGATGTGAGAGAGACATATTGATTAATTGCCTCCCTCACGTGCCCCCACCACGGGTGGGGATCAAGCTCACAATCGAGGTATGTGCCCTTGACCGGAATCAAGCCTGATCTCAGTGTATGGATGGATGCCAAAGAAGCTGAAATAAATTCTTGTCTAAATATTTACAAGCTTGAGCAGAGCCGTCGGAGTATGTCACACACACACACACACACACACACACACACACACACAGCATGTTTCTTAGTTTTTAAGAGTCTGTCTTCTGATGGTTTGAGTGACCACCATAATCTTATATTCAAGCAGCGTACATGTTTAACATAATGTGCCGTTGGGTTTGACAAATAACGCTTTTGTGTTTGGGGTGCTTGTTGTTTTTACATTTTCAGCAACTTTTGCCTTCCATCCAATCGTTAGAGATATTTCTCCAGCAACCCTTACGGTTACAGCAAAAACTCTTTAAGGTTCAGTTGGTGAATCGAAATCGAAGCGAGACTGCACCCCTGTCTTTTGGAGCCAGGCCAGCTACGCTCCTTCACTCCACGGGGTGTCAGCGGGGCCGTGCTGTGGCCCCCGGGCCCACCCTGACGAGGTGTGAGGAGCAGATGGCTCCACGTCTGACAGCAGTGTTTCCAGATGGCCCGTGGGAAAACATCTCCAGAAATGGCACTGCCCTCTGGCATGACAGCTCTGAGCAGCATTCCTGGACGGGCCATTGTATTTGAAGTTTTTTTTTACATAAGAGAGGAGTGTGTTTCCACTCTGCTAGCTGCGAAGCATGGGTCTGTGTGTGTGTGTGTGTGTGTGTGTGTGTGTGTGTACGTGCAGGTGCATTGCGATAACCAATACTGCAGTAAGATGGTCTGTTTCCTCCCCACCCAAGGACTTCCTGCTGCAGATCTTCACCGTGTTCCGAATATTGATACGGCCCGAGATGTTCCCCAAGGACTGGACTGTGATGCGCCTGGTGGCTAACAAGTGAGACTTTTTTTTTATAGTCTTTTTAGGGAGAGAGAGGCAGACAGAGGGAGAGAGAGAAACATCAATGGTGAGAATCACTGATCAGCTGCCTCCTGCACGCCCCACACTGGGGGTTAAGCCCATAACCTAGATACGTGCTCCTATCAGGAATCAAACCAGTGACCTCCTGGTTCATAGGTCAGTGCTCACCACTGAGCACCCCGGCCAGGCTAGTACAGCCTTGATATTAAGGATACATGAAGGTCATCATCCAGGGTTAGAGCGGAGGACAACATGACATTTTTAGTTTGATCTCAAGCTCCAAGCTGCCAAGTCCTGGGGTCCTTTTCCTCTGCTTTTGAATTACCTTCTCTCACTGCTTTTAGAAAAGTCACTACTACTTGTTTTAAACGGGTGGACTTTACCAAATAGGAGGCAGCTGATCAGTGATTCTCATTGATGTTTCTGTCCCTCTCTCCCTCCCTCTGAAATGAATAAAAATATATTTTTAAAAAATCAAACAACAGAACAGATAGATGATGCCCTGAGAATTCCTCCCCTCCCCCACCTTATTCACCCCCTGCCCCGCCTGGGGAAACCACCTGTTAGTTACTTCCACCGTCCTCCCTGCATCAGGGTCCCTAGATCCCAGCCTCGCAGGAGGCAGACTGTGGGCATCCTTCTGCACGTGGCTCTTTCCTCCAAAATCCTGGCCCATTGTCCCACAGTCTCACATGCAAAGCCCCTCGTTCTTTCTTTTTTCCTTTTCCTTTTCCCGCTAGCTGTACAGCATTCTTCTGCATTGGGGTGGCGTTTCTAACTTTCTCTGTGTTACTTTGATCCCTAGCGTGATCATCACAACCGTTCTCTACCTGTCAGATGCACTTCGTAAGAACTTCTTAAACGAAAACTTTGACTACAAGGTAAGTATTCACCTGGTACTCAGAGACATGGCCTCATGCATTTGTTTTCTCCTAACCATCGGAAAGTAAATTTGTTCTGGCTACCTCAAACTCACCTCGGGCCATCTGTGTTTTAATTGTGAATAACAGTAGGAGAGTTTTCATTGTATGTGTGAGCAAGTCATGGCTCCAACGGTGCTTGCCCACCAGGTGGAATCCCAGTGCCTAAGAGGAAACAGTACTGTGTCATTACCAGAATTTTTAAAAATGTATTTTTTATTGACTTCAGAGAGGAAGAGAGAGGGAGAGAGAAAAAAAATCAATGATCAATGATTAGAGAGAATCATTGATTAGCTGTCTCCTGCCTGCCCCCGACTGCAACCCAGGCCTGTGTCCTGACCAGGAATCGAACTGTGACCCCCTGGTTCAGAAGTCGATGCTCAACCACTGAGCCACGTTGGCTGGGCTTGTTACCGTAATTTTTAATTCTTGTCTTCTCTTTGTGACACTCATACATGATTAAGGAGACTTAGAACATGTTTTTAAGACATATCTTAAGATAGAGTTTATATGAAGAAAACACAAAGTAATCACATTACTTCCTTTACTTTTTTGTTTTCCTTTTTTTAGAATAAATTAATGAATGAGAAGGGAAAAAAAGATTAAGGTTTTCTAAGGCAGAACTTTACTAACGTGTCTGTAAAGTGCCTGGGTCTGTAGTAAGAGGTCTTGTCCTACTTTTTCAGGGGCAAACAGGAAATGGTGAAGCGGTGGGTGGAATGTGCTGCCTCTCCTTCATGATGTCTATGTTTTGGGGCATCTTTATTTTTTAAATAACGTTTTTCACATTAAATATTTAATAAAACATCCTTATTGATTAACTAGAAAATATTTTTTTAAAAAACCACAAATATAATAAGACCAATGGAATTTTAATGATTGCATATTTCTTTATATCAGACCTTAAAATTATATCAGACTTTATAATAATTAACCTATCAACATTTCATAATCAAAGCTCTCCTCGCTTTTTAATACTTTGGTTGTTTCTAATATTATGTTCCTATAAATTATTTCTATGTACATTCTTACAAAATAAAGCTTGGCATATGTCCCCAATTATTTCTTTGAATAAATGTTTATAAGTGAAATTGCTGAGTTCAAGGTTGTACCACTCATTTGATTATCTATATCTGTACCAACATTAGGACTTTTTTTTGTGACAATTTGATAAGGAGTAAAAATCTTTTTTTTTGCTCTAATTTGCATTTTTAATAGTTACTTGTTATTGACCAGTTATTGACTAAAATTCATATTTTGTGAATTGTCATTCTGGACCTTGGTTCGTTATTTTGCCGGGGTTCTATCATACTTTTTAATTGTGAGAACTCTTTACATATGAAAGATATTAATCCTTTTTAATATTTCTCCTATTTCCTTTTTAATTTTACAAGGAAATACTTGGTATAGGTAGTGAAGTTTTTTTTTTTTTTCATTATACCTTATATCTTTTTGGTTAAGTTTTTTGTCAGCAGTTTTATTCTGATCACTCTCTGATGCTGTTTTGGGGATAAGTAAACTTGGAATCAAAAGATTTGTCTGGGCAGGGAATTTTTATATACTGTCTGAATTTAAAGCAATCAGCATTTCCAAAGAAGTGTGTGCATTCTTTTGAATTCTACATTGAAAGGAGTTCCAAAAAGGAATTCACACAGGAATAAAGTGATTCATCTCATAGCTCTGCCTCCTTAGAGATGCACAATTTTAAGAGAAATGAAACATATTCCATTTAAATATACCCGAGAGAGCCTGACACCTGTGGCACCACATGGAAGCAATATAGTAAAAGAGAGTATCTATTTAGTTTGCTTCTTTAGTGTAGACCAGTTAAAGCATGTGTAAAAGTAGGGAGAGCAGCATAAGGAACTCTCGTGTACCCATAACCAACTTCTACTGTTATCAACGCAGGGCCATTGGATATCAGCCATACCCTCTCCACTTACCGCTTCAGAAGCAAATCTACGTATCATCTCACTTCCCCTGTGAATATTTCTGACAACATAGTACATACATTTCTCACTCTTGTTTCAGATCTGGGATTCCTACTTTTACCTCGCGGTCATTTTTATAAACCAGCTGTGTCTGCAGTTGGAGATGTTCACGCCTTCCAAAAAGAAAAAGGTATTAGAAAAGTAAGTACCGGTGTGTAATCAGACGGGAGCATGAAGCATACCAAGTGCGGCGCCTTCCAAAGGGAGCTCCAACGATTCATAGATTAGATGTTTGCGCCGGAAATTACAAAGGAGAGGTGATGGCCAGGACGACATGCAGCAGGCTTTTCTGGGAATTTCAATATTTTGAACTTATTGTAACCTTTTTATTGGTCCTCAATCTTTCAGGATTCAAAATTACTACCCAAGTGAACATTCTGGGGCATATCTGTTTTATTAAAGATTGACATGAAGATTTGAATTAGAGGCATCAAGACATGCACGTTGAAATCTTTCCTTAAACACAGGCTGACTTTTAACCCAGACGGAGAGATAGTATCCTACAGACACAGTCTGCCTCTGTTCCGGAGGCGCTGTGTCAGGCCTGCTTTTTGCTCTGTCTCAGGTACGGCGACATGCGGGTGACGATGGGCTGCGAGATCTTCAGCATGTGGCAGAACCTGGGTGAGTGATGGGAAGAGAAGCCACCGGCTTTTCACAGCTCAGCCCGTACTGTTCTCCGTCCATTTACCAAGGGCAGGGTTTGAAAGCAAGTGTCTAAACCAGTGAAGGTATCTGTACAAAGTAATGACACGTTGGGTTACAACTAATTCTTTAAATCGGTGTCTGTTTGAAAAAAGTCACCTCATCTTCGTGAGTTTCCTTATTGTGGAGTGATAAATTTTATAACCCAGCTCACTCCAGTCATACATACAATTTTAGCAGTGTGTGAAGAACCTTTTGGAATTTGCAACTATAACACCTCGAAATCTCTAGGACTCCCAATGTAGATGAAACTTCATGGAAATTGACTTGGGCATCACTACTCTTTAAAAAAAAATTTGAAGCCATTGACCTATACCATGAAGAGTATAATCAGAGGATGTGAAGGCATCTGCAGTTGGTAGGAAACCATTAGACCTAATTTTGTTAGCCAATCACAGCAGACAGAGCGCGGTATTCTGGCAAATGATGATGGCACAGGTTTGGTGACATAGAAAAGAATACTTGGAAAATAGTTCCAAAATCTCCTTCAATATTTCCTATTTAACTTGGTCTGTTACTCATTTATGTAAACTACGCACGTGGACCGTGTCCACTCACTACCACTGCGTGGCTCCTCCTGTGGTTAAAGGGACGAACCTGTCTGAACCGAACGTGCGATGACCTGCAGGGATGTCTGCTCTGGCGCTCCTCGGAGCCCAGCGTGGCGCAGGCAGGGTGTGTTTGCTGTTCATGAAAATAGAAGCATCGTCTTTGGCTTTCATTCATGTCACAGAGTGACTTTTGACTCGGACACATACAGTTCTCAGACATGCAGAGCCATTGGGGGAAGCCCCGTCGGATGGGTCATGGAGCTCCGTGCTCAGTGCTCTCAGGGCTGTTTAGGCTCTGGTCCACGCCCCGCTCCGGTGAGAAGGCCAGCTGGGGCAGGGTAGTGTGGGTACCAGAAGGTCAAAACATGGCCGCTGGCCCTCCGGGTCAATCGGAGCATCGCTGTGCACGGTTACTTCCACGGCAGCCTGGGTCCACACCAGGAGACCCGTGCACGCAGGCGCAGGAACCCCTTGCTCAGTTCAGCGGCACCTTCAGGCTTCCTATGATGTCATCGCATGTGTCATCAGAGTTTCTCCTGTGCGCTGTCTTCCGAACAGATATTTGTAACCCTCTGGGTTTTAGATTAAATGGCTTCTTTGGGAAGAATAAAGTGGAACGTTCGATAATTCGGTAAATTAGCCTAACATCCGGCTCATATGAACAATTCCCTGATGGTCCTAAAACGTCATTGATAGCCCGGCCAGAGTGCCTCAGGGGTTGGGCGTTGATCTATGGAACCAGAAGGTCACAGTTCATTCCTGGTCAGGGCACACACGCTGGTTTCAGGCTCAATCCCCAGTAGGGGGCGTGCAGGAGGCAGCCGGTCCGTGGTTCTCTCTTCATGGCCCTGTCTTTCTCTCCCTCTCCCTCCCGTGGGAAATTGTGCTGTCTTCTGGAGGTGCCCCCACCTCCTCCACACCGCGGATAACCTTTGGGGATACAGTGTTCTCTTCTGTCACATTTTTTTTTTTTAAATGAAAGACATACCTGGACGTGCAGTAATGTGCCTTACTTTTTCTGTTAATTCCATGGAATAACTTCACCGGTGTCGTCCTTCCACCTGGTTTTTAACGGCAGCATAAAAATTCCAATGTGTGTGAGTGTTCAGTAGTCAATATCACCAATTCCTGATGACTTCTATAGCTTTTCATTGTACCTTATGCCTTCTTTAACTGAAAAAACGAATTCTCTCGTTTTTAATAAAAATGGAGAAATATTAATCAACACATTGAAACGTGCTGTTTGCGTATGTGCTTAGGGAAATAGTTCCTTGCTTGGGGAGGCAGTTATCACTGAGATGACTGTACTTGCAGTCGTTCTAAACAAATGTTACAGCGTTAATTTTCTGAATACACCGAGATGCCAACATTCCGTTGCTTTAGGGGAGCACAAGCTTCACTTCATCCCGGCGCTGATCGGGCCCTTCCTGGAGGTGACCCTGATTCCCCAGCCCGACCTGCGGAACGTCATGATCCCCATCTTCCACGACATGATGGACTGGGAGCAGCGGCGGAGCGGCAACTTCAAGCAGGTAGGCAGTGCCCGGCGTGGGGGAGACCTCCCTCACTGCTGGGAGCTGGGAAGTGAACACCCAACTGGCCATCGGCAGATAGGTTCCCCCTGGCCGGCCCCTCCCAGCCAGGGGCCACGTCCCCTCTAGCGCCCAGAAAGCCCTGAAAAAACACTTCCTACCCTTCAGCTGAAACAGTCTGTGACCTGCCAGGTCTGTGTTTGAGGACGGGCAGGGACTTCCTTTGCTCTCAGCTGGGCACAGCGTGGGCGAATCTGAAGGTTAATGAATCTGAAAGCCACTGCGCTCCCAGCAGTCTGCGTGGCGTATGTGGGGAACGGCTTAGCTCTGAGCATCGGACGCACAGTGTCCTTGCCACTCTTTGCTCAAAGAATTCATGTAAAGGGGAAAGCGGTGGAAATTCCTGCAAAGGCTATTCAGAAGAGACGCAGGCTCTCAGAGGCCTGGTCTCGTTTTGCAGAGACTCGGGGTCGTATTCCAAAACCAGATTGCATAAGAGACCAGCTGCTTCTGCCCTTGAGCTGCAGATCCTGGGCCTCCTTCCCGTTCACACAGTCACTGTCCTCACGTGGACACACTCAGCTGTCCTCGCCTGTGCGCCCTCACCGGTGGGGAGGACTTGTCCTCGCTTCAGGCCTTTCTCAAACCCGACAAAAACCGCCGTCAGTTCCACCGGCGAGCTGAGAGCCTCTGGAACCGCCCTGTCCCCAAAAGCATGGGCTCTCAGCGTATCAGTGTCCACACTTACTTTCAAGAAAGCCAATAGGTGGATGAGATGCTATTTAAAAACCATGTTGGGGGACCCCCTGATGCCCTTTCCTTTATCCCGATTCATTGTGATTGAAAGGGACCGTCCATAGGGCTTAGGCCTGCACCCAGTCAGACCGCATCGTCCAGCCCAGCTGTTTTCGCCTCGGCAGCCAGGTGCTTCAACCTCTGTCTCCTGCCGGCCGGGCGCCCAGCCCCGCCTCCCGGGGGGCAGGCAGGCCCTGCAGGGCTTCCATGCTGGAGCACAGGGAGGTTTGGACCACAGTTTTCAGGAAATACGTCCTCTCTCTCCCTCCTGAGTACTGACGGGGAGCATTTCCGTAGGATCTGCCATCTGTCTGTGGACGGGCCAGCTTCTCGCTTTCAGCAAAGATTCCTGCAACCTCATTCTGCTTGGAGAAAGAAAATAGATAGAAAACACAGAGATTTAAATGAACGCTTCTATATATGTACAGTGATTTGAGAGAGAGAGAGAGAGAGAGAGAGAGAGAGGGAGGGAGAGAGAGAAGAAATGGGCCTGCCAGTGTTTTTTAGCTCCTAGAAAAGGGCTCCATGTTGGAGCTGGGCTGCAGTGTTTGGGTTGGAGTGGACAGGGAGGGGTTTGGGCAGCAGCTGGAGCAGCCCCGCGGGGAGCTTAAGGCCCGATGCTCCATCTACATGAGCTTCTTAGGACTCTGTCTACTCTTAACCCAACCCATCTTGTCACTTCCGCACAAGCCGATTGGACCGCTGCTTTTTCTCTTGGGGACGTAACTTTGCTTCCATCTGCCTGGAAGCGCCCCTTGCCCGGGGGAGCGGAGAGAGCACTGTTGGGTGTGTTGCAGGTGGAAGCCAAGCTCATCGACAAGTTGGACAGCCTGATGTCGGAAGGCAAAGGGGACGAAACCTACCGGGAGCTCTTCAACAGTATGTGAGTAACGGTTCACCTGCAGCTGGTCCTGCCCGGGGTCACGTGTCACCTCAGGCAGCCGAGAGCCGCAGACAGTGCGGGCAACACGGGTGTGCCTGGTGGGGGTAGCGGGAGAAGCTCGGGGTCCTGGTCTGATCTGGATAATGGGTTTGATTACATTGATTGAACATGTCGTCTTATTCTAATCGCTAACTGCTCAGGCCACGTGTTCCATAAGAGAAACAGGAAGTGAGTCCTCTAGGGTAGATTGGGCATGAGCAGTTAGGAGGAGGCGGGACCAGTCAAATGGGCTGGGCCTAAAGGAGAGGGTTGTTCAGAGAGGTCTGTATTTCTGTAATTAATCGGCGCCCTGCCTTGTGGACCTACTTCCAACCTCACCCAATGGTTGTTGAGGGGCGTGACCCGCTTCCTATCTCACCCAATAGTTGTTGAGGGGAGGAACTTACTTTGAACCTGACCCAATGGTTGTTGAGGTGTGGGTCCCACTTCCAACATCATCCAATGGTTGCTGAGGGGCGTGACCAGCTTCCAACCTCACCCAATGGTTGTGGATAGGCTGAACCCACAGCCAACCACAACCAATGATTGTTGAGGGGCGGGACTAACTTTCAACCTCACTTAATGGTTGCGAAGAGGTATGACCCATTTTGAACCTCACCCAATGGTTGTTGAGGGGCGGTCCCACTTCTAACCTCACCCAATGATAGTTGATGGTCGTGACCAACTTCCAATTTCACCCAATGGTTGTTGAAGGGTGGGACCCACAGACAACCTCGCCTGATGGTTGTTGAGGGGCAGAATCCATTTACAACAACATCCAATGGTTGTTGAGGTCTGGACCCAATTCCACCCTCACCCAATGGTTGTTGAGGGGTTGAACACACAAATCAGTCCTTGGACTGATGCTTTTACCCTGAACATAATTGGCCAGAGCTGTTAATTACATTTTTAAAAGTAAAATTTTTTTATTTTGGAATAATTCTGGAATTACCCCACAATTGCATAGTGAGTACAAGGTTCTTGAGCACAGGTCTCCTGTTGTTCCCAGCTTCCATAACCCCGGCACCGACACAGCTAACACGTGAATGCCACGTGCCCTGACTCTGGTGCCCTGCTTGAACCGGACTGTACACTTGTGTTTCCCTGGTCTTTCACTGATAGCCTTTTTTCTGTGGGAGGATCTACCCAGAACCCCGCACTGCTTTTAGCCCCATCTGTGCATTGTCTCCCAGTCGCCCTTGTTTCTAATGACCTTGATGGGCTTGGAGGGTGCTGTGTGGAGAGGGACTACAGCTTTGGGACAGGTTCAAGACCGGGACTAATGAGAGGACCCAGTCTTCTCTTGGCCGTGTGCATGTCCCAGCTTGGAGGGCAGAGCCTCCCAGCACAATTATATCCAACAGCTAGAGGGTTTTTTGTTTTGTTTTGTTTTGTTTTTTTTTAGCTTGAACCCATGGTCTGAACAAGTGGTCCCACTTGCCTGAGTGATATAGGCTGCAGGTAACCCAGGTCTGTTCAGGTGCATGTAATGGAGTAGGATCGAAATCCTTGGGAATGCTGTGAACACCTTCACCAAGCCCTCACTTTGCCTCGTGGCATCTGCTACAAAATAAAGAGTCGGCCTGTGGGCTTGGGTGCTGTCTCTCAGGAAGCAGCACCCCACCGAGCCCCAGCTTTCATTGTCTTGTCTGTCTTTTCCCAGCTTTTCAGCCGCCCCCTCTCAGGGCCACCCTGGGCCGGGTCTGGCTGCACCGCGCTGGTCCTGTGTATTGAAGGATGCCTCTTGGATTCTCTGATGTTTTCCTCATCACAGACTGGGGTTTAGGGAAGAGCACCACATGTGTGGAGCATGCTCATGGCACAGAGTCAGGGCACGTGGTACCAACACGATTTATCCGTGGATCCCTATTGATGTTGGCCTTGGTCACCAGGATCCTGGGGTGTCTGCCAGGTCTTCACTGTACACCTGCTGTGATTTCCATCCCACAGTCTAAGTATTGGGAGAGAGACACATAGTGCCTTTTGGGAAGGAGAGGAAGGCTGGGGGAGGGGTTGGGAGTGTTTTTGGACGACACAGTTGCCCGTGTCATTGAGGGTAGATTGGGCATGAGCAGTGAGGAGGAGGCGGGACCAGTCAAAAGAGCTGGGCCTAAAGGTGGGGGTTGCTCAGAGAGATCTGTATTTCTGTAATTAATTTGTGCCCTTCCTAGTGGACCTACTTCCAACCTCACCCAATGGTTGTTGAGGGTCGGGTCCTACTTCAAACCTCACCCAATGATAGTTGAAGGGCGAGACCTACTTCCAAGCTCACCCAGTGGTTGTTGAGGGATGGGACCCAATTTGAACCTCACCCAATGTTTTTTGAGGGGCAGGACTCACTCCCAACCTCACCCAATGGTAGTTGATGGTCCAATGGTTTGTGAGGGGTGGGATCTACTTTCAACCTCATCCAATGTTTGTTGAGGCATGGGTCCCTCTTCTAACCTCATCCAATGGGAGTTGAGGGGCTTGACTTACTTCCAAGATCATCCAAAGTTTGGTGACGGGTGGGACCCACTCCCAACTTCACCCAATGGTTGTTGAGTTCAGGACACAATTCCAACCTCACCCAATTGTTTTTGAGTCATCTTTCTCTAATTCCAACAGCACCTTTATTTACCTATACTGCATCTTCCTGAAATAAGTAAGAATCGAGATTTATTACTCTTAACAATGCTGACAATGAGGGTCAGAGACTCCAGGGGATGGGTCAGAACAGGGCATCAGAAGCACGTACTGCCCCCCTGGCTGCCCTGAGGCGTCATGGCACCGGATTGAGCACTTTCTCGCTCAGGACTTGCCTGGGGCTGGGCCGATGTGGAAACACACAGGGTGCTCCCCGCCTTGGGGGGCCTCGGGAGTTTTCCAGAAGACGTAACTCCCATCCCAGCTTTTCCCACAGTCACTGGTTCATCACACTCTGATCCGAGTGAGGCAGTAAGAGATCTTTCTTGGCGATCACACACTGAATGGTAGTCTGCAGGCAGGATCAGCTCTTACACACACTTCCGGGGTGAAGACCAGGCGCAGGCCCGGGTGTTTTAGGTACAAGGGGCGCCCTCAGCGCTGCCCTGTGTGACACAGCGCGGGAGATGAGGGCCAGATCCTCTCCCCACGGTCCTTCAGAGGTCCAGGCGCTGAGCACGGAGACTCCCGCAGGCCGTGGAGTCCCCTGCCTGTCTGCTGGAGGAAGAGGTCCCCTGGTGCTGTCCTCAGACGAGTCTCTGTCCTCAGCACGGGGCACGGGGCACGGGCATGACTGCGGACCAGGCGAGATGCCTCCTTGTGCTCGGCCACGTGGTGGCGCATGGACCCCTCCCTCTCTCCCTCTCCCCGTCCTCTTCGAAATCAATAGAAATATTTTTTTTAAAAAGGCGCCTCCTCCTCCCCTGAGTCTCGAGTCAGGTAAGGTCGGAGGGGGAACCTGGGCACCAAGAGCCAGCCTGGCTGCCAAAGCCCAGGAGTTGGGTTCTAGACTCAGCCCCCACCCTTGGGTGCTGGGCCGTGGAGGAGGCGTGCTGCGCGGAGTCTGCCTCTGCTCGCCGGAGGCGGTGCGGCTCTGAGGCTGCTGCGGGGGCTGTGGGAAGGGAGAGGAGCCGTATTTTTAGCTCCCTTACCTGAGCCCTTTGTCTCAGGCCCCTGGGGGTGAGGTGGGGGCCGCTCAGGAGAGGCTGCTGCCACACCCGCAGGCGTGGGCAGGCCACGCCCTGTCAGCACTCCGCTCAGCTCCGCTTTGGCATGGAAGTCTGCAATAGTGCGCTTCAGAGGCTGTGTTTGTGTTTAAAAGAAAGCACTTAAAAATGTTCTATTGAGCCGAAACCGGTTTGGCTCAATGGATAGAGCGTCGGCTTGGGGACTGAAGGGTCCCGGGTTCGATTCCTGTCAAGGGCATGTACCTTGGTTGCCGGCATTTCCCCAGTAGGGGGTGTGCAAGAGGCAGCTGATCGATGACTCTCTCTCATCGATGTTTCTAACTCTCTCTCTCCCTTCCTCTCTGTACAAAATCAATAAAATATATTTTAAAAAAATGTTCTATTGACTTCAGAGAGGAAGAGAGAGGGTGAGATAGAGAGACGGGAGGGAATCACGGATTGGCTACCTCCTATACCCCACCCTGGGGATCAAGTCCACAACCCAGGCCTGTGCCCTGACCGGGAATCGAACCGTGACCTCCTGGTTCATAGATTGACACTCAACCACTGAGCATGCCAGCCGGGTAAAGAAAACACATGTTAGTTTTCTAGGGGACCGTTCCCTGAGGGGCCAGCTAGGGCAAGCTTCATACTTTCATATGCCCCCCCCCCCCCCCCAGTCACAATCCAGGAAACAGCTCAGGATAAACCTGAAACCAAATGATCAGGGAGGTGTAGCAACAGATGAGGAGACAAGACAGGGGCCGGGCACTGGGAGGCCAGTCGCTGGAAGCGGGGAGAAGGGAGAGACCGTAGCCACAGACACCCCCAAAATAGCTTTTTTCTTTGCTGCTGCTTTTTTCCACGAAGCACACTAGTCAGCAGGCTCAGGTGGTACTTGTAAGCAGTGTTTTCTAGGTTATTTCTGAAGCCAGGATGAAAGAGACGTGGGGTTTTAGACAGAAACGACGATCGTTCCGCCCAGAGGGGCAGGGGGAGGCGTCACAGGTCCCGCTCAGGGTCTGGCGTCACCACGGGGGCAGGCTCGGCCCTGCAGGCTCGGCCGGTGCCGCTTCCCCCTCGCGGGGACCGAGGGTAAACCGGGTGCTCGTTGCTGTGATTCCTGTGTTGTGTTTCCGTGGCCTGGCCTCTCTCTGCCCCAAGGAGCCTGAGGTCAGGGTGGGAGGCAGGAGGCAGTGGCCTGGGGCCTGCCACCTGCCCACGGAAAGCCCCTGCGGCCGGTGACGCAGTGTGGGAAGCTGTGGGCTGCCCGCACCAGGCGGTGCAGTGCGCACTGAGTGGGCACAGCTCGGAGAGGGAGGAACGCCGCCCGCCGCTCCGGCTGTGCGAGGGTTTCCCGGCGCCGCGGCAGCACGGCTCCGGGGGATGCGCTCCGCGGAGAGGTAGGAGCCGGTGGCCGGAGCACAGCGGGGCGGCCCCGAAGGGCACTCGGTGCTGTCTGCCGGCCACGCTGTGCTGTGCCGCGGGAGGTGCGAGCCCGCACCGGAGAGAGAGACGCGGGGAGAGCGGGTGGGAGCGGCGCCCGGCTTGCCTGGGTGACACTGTGACTGTGTGTGTGCGTGGGTGTGTGTATTCCACGACGCGCGTAATCTAAACATCCATTTGCTTTGTCAATGCTTCCGGGATCAGAATTCCGCTCTTTGGTCCCTACCCTAGGTAAGACGCTGTTTGCAAGCGGTGCTCCCTGTGAGATGTGGCTGTGGTTGCTAGGGCGTCGGGGGTGCTGATGGAAGTGAAACGGTCGTCATGGTGACCGGTAAGCATAAGCGCTGAACATGCCCGGGGTCCTCTCTCTTGCAGCCTGCTGAAGAAAATCGAGCGGGAAACATGGAGGGAGAGCGGGGTCTCGCTGATCGCCACGGTGACGCGGCTGATGGAGAGGCTGCTGGATTACAGGTGAGTGGGGTGCCACGCCCTGGTTAGGGACTCAACGCCCCCCCCCCCCCCCATCCCACCTCCCCAAGATCTGATCCGCAGCCCTGAACCTGAGGGAGGCCATGGCTGTGAGCTGCTGGCTCAGACTTTTCCGCGGGCCGGCCCTCTTTCTTTCTGTTTTGTTTGGGTCGGCAGTTCTCTCCCACTCTCCGTGGACGGAGAGGGTCCTCAGAGGCCCGTTAGGGAAGGGGCTTTGGTTTCGTTTTGATCTAGACTCGCCCGTTAGAGCCAGTGAGCAGATCCACCCATTTCAGGGTGGAGACGGGGTGCTGGAGAACTAGTCAGCCTCGCTGCTCTCACAGACAGCGTTTTCTCTTTCATTTTTAAATGATCTAAACTGGTCAAGCAGTTTGCTCCGCTTACATGCATGGTGTTTTTGTTTTAATTCAAGAATGAGCCTTCATCCTAATGGTGGAAGGCCAGGTGACGGCCCCTTCCCGCCCACAGGAGAGGTGTACAGTCCCACACCTTCACCCGCCCCGAGGACCCGCCCCCGGGGAGGGAGCAGGCCCACCGGGAGGCCCGGGAGGCTGTCCCCCCCCCCCCCCCCCCCCCCGAGGTCCTGCAGCCTGGGGCAGCCGCCCGGGGCAGTTCCTGCAGCGCCCGAGCCTTCTGCCTCTCCTTTCCCTGCGAGGTCGGGGTGTGTGCTCTGGGCAGGAGGCCTGGGCTCTGACCGCTGCTCTCTCCAGGGACTGCATGAAAGTGGGAGAGGTGGATGGCAAGAAGATCGGCTGCACCGTGAGCCTTCTGGTGAGTGGCCCGCCCCCTCCTCCTCAGAGCCCGCCCCCTCCTCCTCAGAGCCCGCGCTGGTTGTTCTACGGAAATACTGGGTTTTGTTTGGTTTCAGTCACGGTGTGTTTTTATCCGATGTTTCTTAGAAGAGTTTAGAAGTGTATCTAAGAGACCTAGCAGTCCCACCAGTGTGGCTCAGAGGTTGAGCATCCATCCGTGAACCAGGAGGCCACAGTTCGATTCCTGGTCAGGGCACTGGCTCCATTTCCAGTGTGGGGCATGCAGAAGGCAGCCAATCTATGATTCTCTCTCATCATTGATGTTTCTACCTCCCTCTTTCCTTCCCTCCCTCCATCTTTCCCTCCCCCTTCCTCTCTGAAATCACTAAAAGAAGAAATAAAAGAGGCCTGGCGAGCTTCCGGTTGGACTAAATCCCAGGAAACTGCCCGCTCCCAGCATTGCAGACGCACCCACGGTGCCAGGGGCCTGGAGGCAGAGCCCGAAGGTCCCAGTGGGAGCCATCTGCCCCCTGTGGCTCAGCGGGCTCTGTCATCCTTTGTCGCTCTCTAGAAACAGGAGGGTCCCCATAGGGCTTTGTGCTTCTGTTTAGACAGTTTATTTCCGTCCGTAATAAATATTAGTGATCTCTTTTTCTGTGACCAAATGACTCTCCCGGTAAACACTCCAATTTTCACTTTCTAGCTTCTTTGCTAATAAAATGTACGATGCCACCATGGTTAAGGCTTGGGTTATAAGTAGGATGATCATATAGTTTACCCTCCCAACAGGACATTTTTTTTTATTTTTTTTTTATTGATCTCAGAGAGGAAGGGAGAAGGGGAGAGAGAGGAAGAAACATCAATGATGAGAAAGAATCATTGATCGGCTGCCTCCTGCACACCCCCTACTGGAGATTGAGCCCACAACCCAGGCATGTGCCCTGACCCAGAGTTGAACCGTGACCCCCTGGGCCATAGGTTGATGCTCAACCACTGTGCCACACAGGCCGGGCAAGAATACTTCTTATTAAAGGAGCAAAACCTATGACGTGGAAGTGAATCGTCCTAGCTCATACTCCATCTGGAACCTTCTAGATGTTTTTCTAGCGGCAATATGGTCTGTTCATCCGCTCACTTCCCTCCACTCGGGGAAGATGAGCTCCAGATTCCTCAGGGGAGCTCTGGCTTCCTCCACGCTGCCAGCTAAACGGAGGGTTCGTCAGTACAAGTGCCTAATCCCTGTCATGACTCATGCTGGGAAATGTAATTATTATTTTGCTCTTTGTGTCACCAGTTTCCCCAGACATATGCGAATATTCTCCTCTGCTGATGGGAGAGATCATTTTGTTTTTTTCAAAGAACTATTCATTCCCAGAGTGAATCTTATTTTTGTTCTCCAGGAAAGCCGCTTCTTACCAGGTGCCTATTAGAGAAATCATCCTTTAATCACACAAAACCCTGCCGTGGGGATGGCAGACGTGTGTTGATGCTACAACTCCGCTTGCTAATTAAAATGATTTGAGTTATAATGGGAGCTGTGAATGGCGTTATTTACTTATTTGTTTAAAGAATGCCAAGACTGCCAGACCGGCATAGCTCCACGGTTGAGTGTTGAGTCCAGGAGGTCACAGTTGGATTCCCTGTGCTTGGGTTGTGGGCTCCATCCCCAGTGTGGGGCGTGCAGGAGGCAGCCGATCATTGGTCCTCTCTCATCATTGAGGGTGCTATCTTCCTCTCCCTCTCCCCTCTAAAATAAAAAAATATATATATATTTTTAAAAAGAATACCAAGATCTACAGGAGAAGAAAAGGGAGAGGATCATGATATAAATTGGAAACAATTTTATTCCGTTACCTGTCCGTGGCTCAAGGATAGCAGAGCCCCCCCAGAGAAGAACGGACTCCGGGGAGGTGGTGTTCAGAGCGGGCCTGAGCAGACGGTCCTCAGGCTTCAGGTTCAGTATTACGAGCCACGTTCGCTAGTCCAGCCCGTTGCCAAAGCCCTCTCCAGCTCCAGAAAAGTGGAGAATCTGTGGCCTTTTCCCCTTGGAAAAACCTGTCACTTCTTCAGGTCATCAGCTGTATCCCCATCACCACACTTTTTCCTTTTACCTCATCCCAAGTGGCATCAACCGAAACCGGGAGCCACAGGGACAGGCGTCCGGGTGTGTAGCCGCAGTGTCACGCCCCAGGGCCTCTCTGGAGAGCGGGCGCTGGAGTCTCAGAGCCGCGCTGCTGCCCGATGGGGCGTTCTGTGCTCTGTCTGCCGCGTTCAGGCAGGAAGTGCCCTTGCTCAGGTGGTGAAGGACTAGAGGTGGAAGCTGATAATGTTCATTCATTCATCCATTTTTGGTTCATTCTCACGGGCGGATATTTTTCCCCATTGATTTTTAGAGAAAGTGGAAGGGAGGGTAGAGAGACAGAAACATCGATGTGAGAGAGAGACATCGATGGGTTGCCTCTTGCATGTGCCCTGACCGGCCAGGGATGGAGCCTGCAACAGAGATACATGCCCTTGACTGGAATCGAACCCATGAGCCTTCAGTCCAAGGACAATGCTCTAACCACTGAGCACCCAGCCAGGATGGTGATGTACCTTACAATGCCAAGAGCATGGGCCCAGGTTACCTTCAAGTTGAGTTTCTGATAACATTAAAATGTGTCAGGGAGATTGAGGAAGACAAGATACTTTTTTATATAAATAAAATATTTTCCATAAGCTTGTCTCCATAATAATAACTTGAAACAAAATACCTTGTTATCAGTCCATTTACGTTCTTTACGTCAACTGGAAACACTTAAACTCAAGCACCAGTGAGCCTCTCAGAACTCCTGAACAGCGAAGAGCCTTCTTTCCCACCTTCACACGATCTGCAGGAGGAAAAGGGGCGTTTGCGCTGTTTGGACTCAGCCTTACCGACGTGTCTTGCTTTTCCTTAGAGTAAGCAACTGTTTGAAACTTGAAACGCCTTTGACTATCACTAGTTAACTTTAATAAACAGGTTAACCTGTTACCTGTTTCACTATCTTAGTTTAGTAGGCTGACTGTCCATGGGCAGCAGAACTAACAAAAAACGACAGAGCCACTAAGGATGTGCCCCTCAGTGGGGACAGCATCCGGCCGCTCGGTCCTGCTGGGCCCAGCTGGTGTGAATGATGCAGGCCCTGGGCCTCCGGGAACGTATTGTTAGAGGCACTTACACGAACAATCCGTCCTTTGGTTCCATTTCACAACACGTCAGCAGATCAAAAGGCAGGTATTTGAGCAACTCTCCACACTTGCAATTTTTCCCCCAGAACTTCTATAAGACGGAGCTGAACAAGGAGGAGATGTATATCCGCTACATCCACAAGCTCTACGACCTGCACCTCAAGGCCCAGAACTTCACAGGTAATTCTCCCCGGGCTCCGCTGGGGCGTGCGGTGGACACGGGTGTGGCTCCGGCTGGGGCGTGCGGTGGACACGGGCGTGGCTCCGGCTGGGGCGTGCGGTGGACACAGGAGTGGCTCCGGCTGGGGCGTGCGGTGGACACAGGAGTGGCTCCAGCTGGGGCGTGTGGTGGACACGGGCATGGCTCCGGCTGGGGCGTGCGGTGGACACAGGAGTGGCTCCGGCTGGGGCGTGTGGTGGACATGGGCGTTTGAGACACGGTAAGTCCTCTCCTTTTTAGAATCAGGGCTCCAGTACTGCTGCTTTAACACTGACATTTATTTCTTATGGAATTGACTGTCTTTTGTTCTCTGTGTCCCAGCCTCCGTGTCAGATAAAGCACCACCTGTTTTTTAATAATGGAAATTTATTTTAAATTGGATTTATGTATGCATGTTTTGGTATTTCATTTTCATTTGTATGCTGGCTTTTTAACTGTATTCCTTGGCATTTTTTTCCCCAATGTTGTTTTGGGGGTTACAAAATGCTTCCCTAACTTTTCCTGGTCTACTCAGCGTTAGTGTTTTATCACCTCAAGTTAAATGTGGAACATTCACAGCCATAGAGGCCCCTTTGTCTTCCCGCTTTAAGTGGCAGCCACCATATGTATTCCGTCTACAGACCGTAATGGCCCACAGAGGTGCTGAGAATTTCGGTTCCTTTGCTGAACGTGTCGCCTGAGAGTTTAAATGGTCATTTTAAAGTAGCTGGTAGCCAGATTTTGAAAAAATGCTCAACCTAGTTTCTACATCTGTGGGGGGAAAACCTGGTAATCTTGTTTCACTTCAGGTCCATAAAAAAAGAAGCGAGGGAAGCAGCGGAGGACAGTTCTGCAGATATAGAGCAGGTCTATTCTGGTTCTCTCAACAAAGTCTAAATCTAGCTAGGTATATTTTGGAGATGGAAAAACGCTTTTTAATTTGTTTGCAGTTTTTATGTTCCCCAAAGTCATAAGAAATAAGTCCTTTTCCCTATAACAGTCTTTCCCCTCTAACATTTATTCATTTCTCTTCTGTCTTCGTTCCTGTGAGTTCCTGGAGAGTGTGAGATGTGAGAACTCTGTTCTGCTGAATTGGTGTAACCTGTGGCCGCCTTTAAGACTGGGTCTTTGCTCCTAACTCATCTTCTCTTCCCTCCTGTGCTCTTACTTCTTCTGTCCCATTGGCATCCTCACACCACGTGTCTCAAAATGACGGAGTTGAGATGGCCCATGCTCCAATTTGTTCAAAATTATAAACACTTTTGAAAAGATTATCTATTAGAACTTTTTAGAGATGATCATTCTTCCTCTTCAATCATCTTCTAAAGATACAGAAAAATAAAGACAATATATTCCAATAAAACATCTACTACTTGCTGCCCAGCTGTTGTGGCTTGATGGTCAGGCATTGACCTATGAACTAGGAGGTCACAGTTCAAGGTCAGGGCACAGGCCAGGGTTTCGGGCTGAACCCCTAGTAGGGGGCATGCAGGAGGCAGCTGATCAATGAGTCCCTCTCATCATTGATGTTTCTATCTTTGTCTCTCCCTTTCTGAAATTAATAAAAAAATATTTAAAAAAAAACCCAAGCAAACAAAAAAATCTACATATAGCTGATACGCTCAGAATCGTCCTCCTGCTCTGCTGTGCTGCCCATGTCTCCAAGGTGTGTATGTCTCACAAGTGAAACTGTTCCACAGCTGCCTTTACAAGCCTGTGTACCAGACATTGTCCTGAATCATTGTCCTGAATCAAATTCTCATACTACACACACCTCATCCAACTCTTGTGGGGGTTCTGATCCCTTCTTTGCCCTCCTTTTTTTTCTTTCTGTTTTTTCTCTGCCCTCAGCTCCTCTCTGCGCTCTGTCCTCCTGCCTCCTGACCTTTCAGCCTAGGTCCTCGGGAAGAGTTGAGCTGTCATTAATTGTTTCCTAAGCATGCCTTTGGAAGATGCTCCTAGTCCCCCCTCCAGGGACTCGCCAGTTAACTTCCTCCCAGACACAGCTGCGTCTCCCCTGGATCTTGATTTTGGAGAGGAAGAGAGAGAGAGAGAGAATTGTTGATCTGCAACTTCTTGCACGCTCCTGACTGGGGATGGAGCCCACAACCCTGGCATATGCCCTGACTGGGAATTGAACTATGACCTCCTGGTTCAAGGGTCAATGCTCAACCGCTGAGCCATGCTGGCCAGGCTCCCATGCTGGCCAGGCTTTCAACATTTTTATAACAGTAGCATACGGGCATTATAGACAAAGAAAGGGGGGAAGAAAAGAGGGAGGGAGGAAGGAAGAGAGAGAGAGAGAGAGAGAGAGAGAGAGAGGGAGAGAGAATCCTAGAAAATAAGAGGTAATAAGCAAATTGACCATCACTCCAACACACAAGATGGCCACACCCAGGTGGTCAAAGATGGCTGCCCCTATGTGGACTCAAGATGGTCACCACAAGATGACCAGCAGGGAAGGGCAGTTGTAGATGATCAGGCCAGCAGGAGAGGGCAGGTAGGGGCAATCAAGCAGGTAATCAGTTGGGAGCCAGCAGTCCTGGATTGTGAGAGTGATGTCTGACTGCCCATTTAAACTGGCAGACATCTCTCGAGGGGTCCCAGATTGGAGAAGGTGCAGGCTGGTCTGAGGGAAACACACACACACACACACACACACACACACACACACGCCCCCATGCACGAATTTCATGCACCGGGCCTCTAGCATGGATATGAATGAATGAATGAATGAATGAATATAGGGAACCAAACAATAACATGCAAATCTCTGATGATTCCATCTTCGAGAAAGTCAGCATTCACTAACCTGCCGTTGTATGTATACTTACATCCTGGGCACTTTTCTGGAGCATCATGAAATTCAGAAAATAGTGTGTCCCCCCTTTGTCCCGAACGGGCCCCTCAAGGGGCGGCTGCGGGCCCGTCTGCCCGCCCGTCCGGACCGAGCTGCGGACTCGTCTGCCCGCCCGGCCGGACCGAGCTCCCGCTGCCTTGCAGAGGCCGCCTACACCCTCCTGCTGTATGACGAGCTGCTGGAGTGGTCGGACCGGCCGCTGCGCGAGTTCCTGAGCTACCCCATGCAGACCGAGTGGCAGCGCAAGGAGCACCTGCACCTGGCCATCATCCAGAACTTCGACCGGGGCAAGGTGAGGGCCCGCCCCTCCATTCGCTCACGGCGCCCCCTCCTCCTGGTGCCACCGCCCCTTCACCCGCTCACGAACGCCCCTCCTCCTGGGGGCATTGCCATTGCCAGCTTCCTGAAGACTTTTAACAACCAACACCTTAGTTACATGCTATCTCCACGCGTAAAGCCCCAGAGTCCTCCTAACAGCAGGAAAGACTTTTTATTGTTGTTTATTTATTATTTATTTTTATATTTACCTTTTTAAAAAATTTTATTGATTTTTACAGAGAGTAAAAGAGAGGGATAGAGAGCCAGAAACATCGATGAGAGAGAAACATCGATCAGCTGCCTCCTGCACACCCCCTACTGGGGATGTGCCCGCAACCAAGGTACATGCCCTTGACCGGAATCGAACCTGGGACCCTTCAGTCCGCAGGCCGATGCTCTATATCCACTGAACCAAACCAGTTTTGGCAGGAAAGACTTAAAAAAAAACAACCTTTTTATTGATGTCAGCGAGGAAGGGAGAGGGGGACAGATAGAAACATCAGCGATGCTGGAGAATCATCCATCGGCTGCCTCCTGCACATCCCGCACTGGGGATGGAGCCCGCACCTGGGGCAGGTGCTCCGTTCAGGAATCGATGCTCAACCCCTGAGCCAGGCCAGCCAGGCAGGAAAGACTTAGTAACTTCCATGCTAATTACATGCTGTGTTCGTGCTAAAGCTGCACTGGTCCTGTTACCGGCGGGCCCCAGGGCGGACGCGGGGCTCGGGGAGGGAGGCAGTGCCTGCACCTCGAGGCGGAGGAAGCAGCATGGCCGTCACTAACTGTGCCCATCGGCCCCGCAGTGCTGGGAGAGCGGCATCCTGCTGTGCCGGAAGATCGCCGAGCAGTACGAGAGCTACTATGACTACCGCAACCTGAGCAAGATGCGGGTGAGCCGGGCGCGCCGGGAGCTCCCCCGACAGCCTCTGGCCCCCGACGGGCCTCCGGGGTGGATGGGAACCGTGAGCTTCATGTGGGTCACAGTCACTGCTGTCCGTCGCACCCCAGAGCGCGCAGCCTGCTGTCACCTGCCACCCACACTGTGGCCGCCTCTGCGTTGTGCTTTGTTCTTTTCAAAGAGAGTTAGGGAGAGGGAGAGAGACAAAATATCAACGATGAGAATCACCCATCCGCTGCCTCCTGCACGCCCCACCCTGGGGGTGGAGCCCACAACGCAGGCATGAGCCCCGGCCCGGAATCGAACCACGACCTCCTGGTTCAAGGGCTGACACTCCGCCCCGGAGCCCCGCGTAGACCTCTGCCTTGGTTGGTCAGCCGAGCGGGTGTGGCCCTCCCGGCTGCCCCGAGTGCCCTGGCGCCGGAATTCCCCGAAAGGTTGCTTCTCACGGTGCACACCCGTTTCCATGTCACTGGGAGGAACACGCTTCCCCGGTGGCCTGTGTGCATAGAAACCACCTTCCCCGGGAGAGCACGTCCTGACACGCTAGGCCTCACGCAGGTCGGTGAGCAGCGGGGACGACGGAAGCTTGTGCCCCCGGGCAGAGGGCACAGGCTGCGCTGCGGGGCGGAGCGGCCGGGCGGCGGAGACTGACCGCTGTCTCCTTGCTCCCCCAGATGATGGAGGCCTCTCTGTACGACAAGATCATGGACCAGCAGCGCCTGGAGCCCGAGTTCTTCAGGGTTGGGTTTTACGGGAAGAAGTTTCCGTTTTTCTTAAGAGTGAGTCGTGTTTTGTTTAGTTTGCTTTCATACTTGTAATATATAGGATACCACCCCCCCCCATGTCTATACACGTTGAGTAATTAGAAAGGCAGTGTTTGTTTTTATTATTATTATTATTTTTAATTTCTTTATTGATTAAGGTATCATATTTGTCCTCAACCCCACATTCCAAACCCCCATCCCCCAACTCATGCCCTCACCCCCCTATTGTCCTTGACCACTGGTTAGGCTCATATGTGTGCACGTAAGTCCTTTGGCTGATCTCTCCCTTTTATCCCCACCCTCCCTCTGAGGTCCAACAGAAGGCAGTGTTTATTAAAATCCGCTTCACTTTTGAAATGGAGTTATCAGCTGTTAACGTGTGTCTGAGTCTTGTGGGGGGGACGCCCGGTAGATAGCGTGACCCGCAGAGCCGAGCTGTGACTGGCCCGGGGCCCTTTTCAGACAAGTGAGCACATCAGGAGATTCCTGTCCACATTTTGCTCTGTAAACCCCATTCTCCGGTGGAACGCCTGGCTCCGAGTACTTCCCCAAGACAGCACCCCATCTTGTGGCTTTTGCGTCCTGAGCTTCCAAGTTTGCCGGATGGACAAGCCATTCCTGGTCATCAGGGTGGTTTCCCGCGGGGGCCGGTTCTCAGCCTCCAGCTCAGCGGCCATCCTCAGCATTGGCGTTAGGGAGAGCGCGGGCCTGGGCGGTCCAGGGCCCACACTGCAGACAGTGCTGCCATTCTGCCCTCTTCACCGGGCTCCCCAGTCTCCAGCCCCCCACACCCGTCTGCTGTTCTGTTCTCATCTCAGGGAATGGTTCTTGTGTTGTTAGTTATTGTTTTTAAAAATATATCTTTATTGATTTCAGAGAGGAAGGGAGAGGGAGAGAGAAACATCAATGAGACAGCATCACTGACTGGCTGCCTCCTGCACGCCCCACAGGGGGATCGAGCCTGCAACTCCGGCAGGTGCTGGATGGGGAATCGAACCGTGACCTCCAGGTTCCTAGGTCGATGCTCACCCGCTGAGCCACGCCAGCGAGGCTGCTAGTTTATTCTGTTCGTCCTTTATCTGCCCGCAGAACAAGGAGTTCGTGTGCAGAGGGCACGACTACGAGCGGCTGGAGGCGTTCCAGCAGCGGATGCTGACGGAGTTCCCGCACGCCATCGCCATGCAGCACGCCAACCAGCCCGACGAGACCATCTTCCAGGCGGAGGCGCAGTGTATCCGCCTTGGGAGGGCACTGCCCGGGAGAGCCCCCGGGGCGGGCGGCGGGCGGCGGGCGGCGGGCGGCTGCAGCTCTCTCCCCTTCCTATTGGGTTGCCGTGTTCTTAGTCTCCCTCTCTCCTGGCATCTTATTTTAGCTCAGCTCCTCCTCAGCAGAAGTGCTCTGCTTGTTACCATGATGCCAGGGGAAAAGAATCTCTTAGATTCTGTTGAACTCTTTTCCTTTTTAAAAAAATATGTTTTTACTGATTTCAGAGAGAGGAAAGAAGAGGGAGAGAGAGATGGAAACATCAATGATGAAAGAGAATCATCTGTTGGCTGCCTCCTGCACACCCCTTAGTGGGGATGAAGCCACAACCCAGGCATGGACCCTGATCACAAATAGACTGTGACCTTCTGGTTCACAGGTCGGCAACCACTGAGCCACACCAGCCACACAAATTTTTCCCCTTTTATTAAAACTTACCCCTGCTTTTAACGCTCTTTCTAGTGAGTTCCTTTAATTTTCCCCTGACATATCCTATGGAAGCGACTTCAGTTCATGAAAATAATCGCCTTATGTCCCTGGAACATATCATTCACCCCCTTTGCCCTGACGTTTTTATTCCCACTCACCCCCTCAAAAAAAAAAAAAAAAAAATGGTACATCCATGGGCCCTAAACTTTTTAATCTGATACTTTTTCCAGAAAACACTGACCTAAAACTCATCCAAGACCTGTTGTGTGGGAATGAGCATTAGGATTGAGTTCTGGGCTCGTTCTCGGAGACGTTACTCTACTTCCAGCCAAAGGGGAGCAAACAGCAGATAGTTCCCCCCTCCCCGCAGCTCAGCGGGGCCAGGCTGCGCGGTGCTCGCTGAGCACGTCCCTCCTTGACGCTGTGCCCAGACCTGCAGATCTACGCCGTGACCCCCATCCCCGAAAGCCAGGAGGTGCTGCAGAGAGAGGGCGTCCCCGACAACATCAAGAGCTTCTACAAGGTGAACCACATCTGGAAGTTCCGCTACGACCGGCCGTTCCACAAAGGCCCCAAGGACAAGGAGAACGAGTTCAAGGTGCGCAGGCTCCGGCCCACGGAGGAGCCCCCGTTTCTGGCTGCCGAGGGCCTGGCGCTGGTGCGGGGATCCCAGAGGGCGTTCTCCTGGGAATGGACTTTGTTTCCATGAGAGAAATGAGCCATCGGCTCAGAACGCTGGTGGGCAGCGTCAGCGCATGTCAGTTTCATGTGGCCCGGAGGGGCCGGGCTCTGAAACCCTGTGTTCCCGTGGATGTGGGGCACGTGGCACGGCGGGCGGGGCTGCGGAGAGGCGGAGGGTCCGGTGGGTGGGCAGTGCTGGCGCGGCAGGTGATTGGAAGGCGCCTTTAAGCAGGTCCCGTGGCTCCTGGGTCTTAGCATCTTCCTCTTTAAAATAGGAAGGTCCGCTGCAGGGTCCCCAGCGCCTCCTCCAGGAGGTCACGCAGCCGTGTGCTGGCGAGCTGGTTCATAACCGATGACAACAATGAATGGCAAGCATTAACCGCAGCTCAGGAGCCAGGGAGAGGGGCAACATGGGGGTTAACGTGTCCCGTGTTCCGCAGAGCCTCTGGGTGGAGAGGACATGGCTGTGACATGGGGTTAACGTGTCCCGTGTTCCACAGAGCTTCTGGGTGGAGAGGACATGGCTGTAACATGGGGTTAACATGTCCCATGTTCTGCAGAGCCTCTGGGTGGAGAGGACACGGCTGTGACATGAGAGTTAATGTGTCCCGTGTTCCACAGAGCCTCTGGGTGGAGAGGACACGGCTGTGACATGAGGGTTAACGTGTCCCGTGTTCCGCAGAGCCTCTGGGTGGAGAGAACACGGCTGTCACATGGGTGGAGAGGACACGGCTGTGACATGAGGGTTAACGTGTCCCGTGTTCCGCAGAGCCTCTGGGTGGAGAGAACACGGCTGTCACATGGGTGGAGAGGACACGGCTGTGACATGAGGGTTAACGTGTCCCGTGTTCCGCAGAGCCTCTGGGTGGAGAGGACATGGCTGTAACATGGGGTTAACATGTCCCATGTTCTGCAGAGCCTCTGGGTGGAGAGAACACGGCTGTGACATGGGTGGAGAAGACATGGCTGTGGCATGGGGTTAACGTGTCCCGTGTTCTGCAGAGCCTCTGGGTGGAGAGGACACGGCTGTGGCGTGGGATTAACGTGTCCCGTGTTCCGCAGAGCCTCTGGGTGGAGAGGACACGGCTGTGACATGAGAGTTAATGTGTCCCGTGTTCCACAGAGGCTCTGGGTGGAGAGGACACGGCTGTGACATGGGTGGAGAAGACATGGCTATGGCATGGGGTTAACGTGTCCCGTGTTCTGCAGAGCCTCTGGGTGGAGAGGACACGGCTGTCACATGGGTGGAGAGGACATGGCTGTGACATGGGGTTAACATGTCCCGTGTTCTGCAGAGCCTCTGGGTGGAGAGGACACGGCTGTCACATGGGTGGAGAGGACATGGCTGTGACATGGGGTTAACATGTCCCGTGTTCTGCAGAGCCTCTGGGTGGAGAGGACACGGCTGTCACATGGGTGGAGAGGACATGGCTGTGGCATGGGGTTAACGTGTCCCGTGTTCCGCAGAGCCTCTGGGTGGAGAGGACACGGCTGTGATGTGGGATTAACGTGTCCCGTGTTCCGCAGAGCCTCTGGGTGGAGAGGACATGGCTGTGACATGGGGTTAATGTGTCCCGTGTTCCGCAGAGCCTCTGGGTGGAGAGGACAGGGCTGTCACATGGGTGGAGAGGACATGGCTGTGGCATGGGGTTAACGTGTCCCGTGTTCCGCAGAGCCTCTGGGTGGAGCGGACGTCGCTGTTCCTGGTGCAGAGCTTGCCCGGCATCTCCCGCTGGTTCGAGGTGGACAAGCGCGAGGTGGTAAGGACCAGACGTGTTCGGGGCCCGTTCTCGCCGCTGCTCACCGGGGACCTGCCGGGTGAGAGAGGCGAGGCCGCCCACGGAGTCCGCACGGCTCGCTGAGCTGCTTCCTCTCAAGGGCCCGGGCCCGGCCCAGAGAAACGCTCCCAGCGCCCACCGCCCTGGGGACTCGGCGAGCCTCCTCCCCACCCTGCCCAGAGCGCTCAGTTCTGTGCATCTCACCCGCAGTGCTCACCCTGCATGTATCACACACGTGCATACACACCGGCACCTGCACAGGCGTGCATAGATTAGCACATGTGTGCATGCACACACATGTGGGTGCACACACATGGACATACGCCCATATGCACACTCGCACAGGCACCCGAGAGTACATGTATGTGCACACGTGGGCGTGCATCAGCTCATGGGTGTGCGTGCACACCTCTGGTAAGAAGGAGCATGCTTAGAGGAGATTGAGAAGAGCATTACTAAGCACAAGCCTTCCAAGCAGCTGCCCACGGCATTGGCACAGGCGCCTTGTGTTCCCTCCAACAGAACCCGCCTCCCGGGCCACTGTGTTCCCTGAACGCAGTCCACTGCCGTCCGTCTCCTCCCGCTCTGGCAGGTCCCCGCCTGCATTCACGCTCCTGCTCTCACTCCTGCATAGGCGGTCCTCAGGACCAGCACACAGAGCAGGCCCTCCATGCGTACATGCATGCATACATGCCAAACTGCACGGGAACTCCTACTACCTCGCCAAAATCTAAAAGGCTCTGAAAACCGAAAGGTGTTTCCGAAAGTCTGGCTCCAGAAGGACAGACCTCACTGGATGGCATTATGCCCAGTGATGCTCTCTGTCTCCCTCAGGGTGGTATCCACGCCGGTAAGAACTTCTGTGCGTTTATTTGAGTCAGACTGACGACAGTGGGCGGGCAGCAAAAGCTCAGAGGACTGAGGAAATGCTCCAGAGAACGCGGTTCTGCCGCTTACTCTGACATCGGGATAGAGGGGGAGGTGCAGGGAAGTTACGTGGTGCCCGGCCCTGTGACCCTGTGGTTGCACATTGAACTGAACCAGGAGGTCGCAGTTCGATTCCCACTTGGGCCAGGTGGGAGACATGTGGGCTAGGGCATGTGGGAGACAGCCCATCAATGATTCTCTCTCATCACTGATGTTTCTCTCTCTCTCTCCCTCTTCTCAAGTCAATAAAAAAAATATATATTTTTTAAAAGGAAGTTACATGAAATCCACTGGTGATAGATTGGGGAGGTGGGAGGGGAAACCTCTGAGATGAGATAAGAAGTAAAGGAACAGACACTCCTTTTACTGCGGTGGGTGCGGGGCAGTGAACAGTCAGCAATGAGCTCAGCAGTGAGGGGGCCTGGGCTTTGGCTCTGTGGGGATGGTGCCCTGAGCGTTTGGAAAGGGGGTTACTCAGGTATGTCCAGGTATGTTACCTTTGCTGCTTTTCTGTGTCTGGAGCTGAAGTACAAGCCTAGATATTACCTCTGGGGCGGTGGCCTGTCCCTGCTGTGGAAGGCCCGGTCATTAATTTAGCCACCAGTTTCCATTGTCAGGGCCGATGGCCTGTCTCACCATTACCTCCCTTTTACGGCACCCATTCCCTGGCCTAGTGCATCCTGTATAAACCAAGCCAGTTAGTGTTGCCTGGTTTTGAACTTTACATAACAGCATCGTACTGTATATATATCCCGTAGGAACTTGCTTCTGTGATTGGGTGTTTTTATCTGTAATGTTAGTCCCTATTATTACATATGACTGATGTTGGTTTTCATTGCTGTGTACTATTCCATTGGATGATCCTGCCACACTATGCTTGCGCATTTTACCGTCCAATAGACACATGGATTTGGGAGACGGTTATGAGCATTTTGACATGTTTCCTTGCACACATGGAAGGATCATAAAGTACAATAAATATATCGCTGACTTTGGTACGTAGTGCCAGGCTGTTTTCCAAAGCGACCGAACCAGTTAGAACTTCCAAGAGCGGGAACTGAGAGACGTTCAGTTCCATTCTTACGTCCACTTGCTGTCTTCATGTTAATTTTGCTGTGTTGGCCGTGCTGAGTGGTATGTCACTGTAGCATTCCTTTTTACTTCTCTGATCACAAATGGGAGCCCACACATTTTCATATGTTTACCGGCCATTCGGATTCTCCCTTTGTAAAGTGGTGGTTTCAGTCTTTGGCCCATTTTGGTTGCGTGGTTTGCCTTTTCCTTACTGGTTAGGAAGGGATTGAAACACTCTGGACCTGGGCTCTCTGCCGGCTAACCTGGTACAGGTTACCTGCTTCCTAGCGGGTCCGTCCTTCTCTGCGGAGTGCCCTCTGGTGAGTGTACAGTGTTCATGGACATCGTCAGATTGTCCTAGAGGTTTTGGTGTTGGTTTAGAATGACTTAAGCGACCTTCAGGAACGCTGGTGTGTTTCCTTAGCTGAGAGTTGTCAGCTGGGAGGACTTCCCAGCTGAGCGCTTGGCAGACATTCCTTCAGAGGCGGTGTCGGTGCCGATGCTGTCCCCGCACAGCCTGCGGGCACGCACCTCGTTTTCATGTTAGGTGTCCCTGGTTGCCTGGAGCATGGACCTCACTATGGCTCCGTTTGGCTGCCCTTCAACACGCAGATTGGAGCTGTATGGCTATCCAGTTTCCATACCCCTGCTGTGTCCACCTGTGCACCTTGTGGTGATGGGGCCCGTGCAGGTGTGGTCCATGCAGGTCCATGATGCGTCTTCCCAAGGGCTGGCAGCTCACTCAGGGCACTGGCACGCGCGTCCCTGTGCCCCCACCATGCTCTGCATTCAGAAGCATCTAGATGGGTGGCAGTAATGTGCCCTGGACGGTTAGCCCTTCAGAAGGAAAAAAAAAAGCCAAGGTTTAAAAGTCATCACGTGACTTTTTTCTTTTAGAGATTGCATTGATTGTTGCAGTGCTCATAGATAATTAACTATTACTGATGATCCAAATGGAGTTTCACCCAGTGATTATCATCACCGTCACTTACTAGACTTCACTGACGCAGCTGATTGGTCTCCCAGTCCTTAGCTATTCCTCTGGGTGCCCTGGGAGAGGTGTGAGTGGGAGGGGCGTGGGGAAGGGGCGGGCCCCGCTCGTGGGACCCTGGGTCCTGTCCTCTGTCTCCCCGAGAGCCTCAGGCCCCAGCGCACGTCTGTGCTCTTGGCTCCTCAGGTGGAGATGACGCCCCTGGAGAACGCCATCGAGGTCCTGGAGAACAAGAACCAGCAGCTGAAGACGCTGATCAGCCAGTGTCAGACCCGGCAGATGCAGAACATCAACCCGTTGACCATGTGCCTGAACGGAGTCATCGATGCTGCCGTCAACGGCGGGGTCTCCCGGTATCAGGAGGTGAGGGTGTGCCGAAACTGGTTTGGCTCAGTGGATAGAGCGTCGGACTGCGGACTGAATAGTCTCAGGTTCGATTCCGGTCAAGAGCATGTACCTTGGCTGCGGGAACATCCCCAGTAGGAGGTGTGCAGGAGGCAGCTGATCGATGTTTCTCTCTCATCGATGTTTCTAACTCTCTATCCCTCTCTCTTCCTCTCTGTAAAAAAATCAATAAAATATATATTTTTAAAAATGAATAATAATAAAAAACCCATTTTCCTGAGCTTATCTTCAGTCTCTTGCACTTATCCAAATTAATCAGCTTCTCCCAGGCCGGGTTTTTAGTGTGTCCAGGTAAATTACTTGGCCTAATTGGTGATTACATAGATGTGATAATTAAGCAAGCTATATATTTATAAATTCTCTAGGTTTGTTTGGTAGGTTGTATATCAATAAAATGTTCACTAGAAATATTTTACAAATTAAAAACAGAAAATACAAAGAAAATGAATAATAATAATAATAAAAAAGATGAGGTGCCCTGCCAGTGTGGCTCAGTGGTTGAACCAGGAAGTCACAGCTCAGTTCCCGGTCAGGGCACAGGCCCAGGTTGCAGGCCTGATCCCCAGTGTGGGACGTGCAGGAGGCAGCTGAGCAATGATTCTCTTTCGTCACTGATGTTTCTCTCTCTTTCTCCCTCTCTTTTCCTCTCTGAATTAAAAAAAAAAAATCTAATATATAAAAGGCTAAGTGACCAATTGTACATCCATCGAACCGGCTGACCCACCAGCCGGTACACGTGACACGCACTAGCGGTTTAAAAATAGACATTGACTTGCACGTGCACGGTACAGATAAAGCTCTCACTGTGTTTTGATCTGTCGTTGTTGATCGTGAATTTAGTTGTTTTTGTTGATACTCTGAAGCTGAAAGAAGCAGCGTCATCGACAGAATATGTCTGAAGACCAATTTCTGGCACAACACACCTCTGAAATGTGTCAGTGCTGTGCGATCAGCCATAGGACAGACAAGTTTAAACTACTGTAGTGTTTGGGGATGTTTCAGACAGTTGTCTCTTAAAACAAATATGAGGTCACATGATTCTGCTTACAGTGAATGGTTAGTAAAACTTGGAGATGGTTTTCATTTAGGAATGGATATTATTGAGATCCCCCATGAAATGATTTATAATGGATCTATTATTGAAGCTACTTTTAGAAGTAGTATATCTATGGATAATATTAAAAATATATATAAATGTGTGGTTCTTTGTCCAAAAAATGAACTATGACTATTAATCTATCACAAGGACAAACTCTAGACAGAGCAGGAATATTCCTGCTTGAACTGGTTTTCACACATGGTCGGGTATAAGCTGCTTTCTCTCAGGTGTGAAGAGCAGGTGAGGTTAAAGTTGCAAATACTCCATCACGAGGGACATCAGTCAAGCACTCTGAAAGTGTTTTCATTCCTAGTGTGGTATAGAGGGAGATATTAGAATAAGTTTAATCAATTTATCAGTCATTGTTCTTATATCATGTTTTTGTTGTTTTTATTGACATATGTCTTTGTTATATCATGTTGTTACTCTTTATTAATCAACTTACATATTATTTTCATATACATTTTACTGATTTTCTTTAATTTCTGACACTTCTATTATAGAGAAAGGTCAAACAGTGATATTAAAATATTTATTTTAATTAACTTTCTCTCAATGTGCTAGAACTTGTGCACCGGGCTACTAATATGTGTGTGTGTGTGTGTGTGTGTGTGTGTATGTGTGTGTATATATATATATTTTTTTAATATATATATTTTATTGATTTTTTACAGAGAGGAAGAGAGAGGGATAGAGAGTTAGAAACATTGATGAGAGAGAATCATCGATCAGCTGCCTCCTGCACACCCCCCACTGGGAATGTGCCCGCAACCAAGGTACATGCCCTTGACCGGATTCGAACCTGGAACCTTTCAGTCCGCAGGCTGACGCTCTGTCCACTGAGCCAAACCGGCTTCGGCTATTTATAATTTTTTTTTTAAAAAAGAGGTGAAGGTTAGGGATTGTTGTTTAAAAAATTTCAAAGGTGATGTCTCAGGATTTCGGAAATCTTTGTTCAAAATATGCACACATGTCAGCCTGCTAGCACTGGCTGCCAGTGGCACAGAGGCTGTTAGGCAGAGCAAACATATCATTTGTGAAGCATGATCTCTCCATGTCCCCGTGTGACATTTTGAGGATAAAAGTGTGAGTGTGTGTGTGTGTGTGTGTGTGTGTGTGTGTGTGTATGTATGAATAAAAGTACTGAGGGCATGTTAACAGATGCCTGCCTCTGCAAGGAGGTTCAGTGCCTTGTCTAGGAGATGCCCTGAGTCACCCTCTTAGTCCCTTGGAAGCGAAAGCCAGTGCCTTGATCACACTGAACCTTGAGGCACTGATTTCAGAGTGTGATGCCATAAAGCTTATTCGTTTGGCTTTGCTATTTGTTTGTTTTATCGAAAATACTTACCCAGTCTCTGCGCTTCCTCGGAGGCCCGTTCGGTATATTTCCGTCCTGACCAGCCGCCCCCACAAGGCCTCCCTCCGCTGCTCCCCAGGCAGGGTACGGTGTGTCTGGCCCCCAGCAGAGCCGGTCCTTACAGAGACCAGGGCGTTAGGACAACAGGGCCTCTCCCTCTGTCACCCTCCCGAAGTGGCTGACTGTCCCTCCTCTTCCCAGGCGTTCTTCGTCAAGGAGTACATCTTAAGTCACCCCGAGGACGGAGAGAAGATCGCCCGGCTGCGAGAGCTGATGCTGGAGCAGGTGAGGACGAGGCCTGGCCTGGCAGAGGAGGGGCGTGCCGGGCAGGGCTGCCAGGGGCAGCGACAGCGGCTGCTCACCTCAGAGGATCAATCGCTGTTGGTAGCTGAACAAAGGGAACTCGGGGAGTTGTGTTCCTCCCTCTGGGGTTCCTGGCGGCAGGAGACCTTGGTGTACACGAGGAGCTGCTGCTTGTGACGCTGAGTGAGCAAGAAGGATCCTTTGCACAAACACAAGCAGCATGGCAGCTAGCCTAGACTCCCTGTGCACCTCGCCTTTCCTCCTGGATGGATTTTGAAAGTCCGGGGGGCAGTGGTGGGCACAGAAGAACCTGGGGAGAGAGAAGAGTAACGTGGGAAAGGGTTTGCCCCCCCCGAGAAGAGATCCCTCAGGGAACAGCACCCTATCTTACGAACGGGGCAACCCCGCCCCATCTGGGGAAGCACAGGAGGGGCCTCATAAGGGTGTTACAGGCCTGAGGTACATGGGGCGGCAGGAACATCGAGTCTTTGGACTCAGAGACCACGGTCGAGATCCCCACGTGTCTCCTACTCGCAGGACGATTCTGAGCCCCTGCCTGCCCGTTAGGACCGCTCCTGTCCTGCTGGGCCGAGAGGAATTAGCGCTGATGCACGCGGACCGCGTGGGGCCTGTGCTGGAGCCCACAGACCCTCCCCGGAGCTCCCCTTCCACGCGGACCCTCTCTGTGTGTGTTTGTCCAGGCGCAGATCCTGGAGTTCGGCTTGGCCGTGCACGAGAAGTTCGTCCCTCAGGACATGCGGCCCCTTCACAAGAAGCTGGTGGACCAGTTCTTCATGATGAAGTCGAGTCTGGGGATACAGGTAGGTACAAGGTGTCTGGCCCCAGCTCCCTGGCCTTCAGCTGTTTGTAGGGAGTCGAGGAGGTGGTCAACAGTGACATCTGGTGGTGCTTCTGCTACACTGCACCACCTGACCGGGAGCCGCAGATATTAAAATTGCATTGCATTGTGTTTTGGTCATGCCCAGCTTTTAGGAAAATGGAAAGTGAGTGAGAGAAAGCTTAATAAGCCTGGCTAGTGTGGCTCAGTGGTTGAGTGTCAACCTATGAACCAGGAGGTCAGGGTTCCGTTCCCAGCCAGGGCTCATGCGTGGGCTGTGAGCTCATTCCCCAGTGCGGGATATGCAGGAGGCAGCTGATCAGTGATTCTCTCCCATCCTTGATGTTTCTGTCTCTCTTTCCTTCTCCCTTCATCTCTGAAACCAGTAAAAACATAATTTAAAAACAGAAAACTTCATTATACTGAAACCTACCACAATAGCCCTACGTAAAGATGTCGCGATACTCCGCGCGCGCCTCTGATATTTTGAAATATTGCACAGGTCATTTCACCCACACGGCTCCCCTTCTGAAGGGCTTTCTGCGTTTCTCGTAGGAGTTCTCTGCTTTCATACAAGCCAGCCCCGTGCACTTTCCGAACGGCAGCCCTCGGGGGTGCCGGAACTCGGCGCCCGCCTCCATGAGCCCCGACGGCTCCCGGGTGGTTCCCAGGCGCAGGTGAGTCTCCGGCTTCGTCCTCGCACCCGCGGGCAGCCCCGCACGGTGGTCTGGACCGGTCCGCTCCTCCCTGCACAGTTTGTCAAACCCGCTTCTTCTTAATGACGTCATTAACCCGCGAGGCAGCTGCCGGCCCCTGTGAGCCATCCACCGCGTGAGGAATGACCACACACACACATCTAGCTAGGTTGAGGCAAACAGGAAACGCCAGAACAGGTGGATTTTTATTTTATTTTATTGATTTTAGAGAGAGAGGAAGATAGAGAAACATCAGTGATGACAGAGCATCATTGATCGCTGCCTCCTGCACGCCCCGAGCTGAGGATGAAGCCCGCCACCTGGGCATGCGCCCTGACCGGGCATCTAACCGGGGGGGCTTCTGGGTTCATGGGGTGACGCTCAATCAGTGAGCCACACTGGCCAGTCTGATTGACCCCAAGCCGGCGTGGGACAAAGCACAGTTCAAAGACTGCGTTAACGGCCTTTCCTCCTCCCCTCCGCCCCTCCCCTCCGCTCCCTCCCCGGCCCCCACCAGCCAGCTGAGCTACCCGGCCGTCAACCGGTACTCCTCGTCCTCGCTGTCCTCGCAGGCCTCCGCCGAAGTCAGCAACATCACGGGGCAGTCGGAGAGCTCCGACGAGGTCTTCAACATGCAGGTGCGGGCTCCGTTCTGTCTGCTCCGTCCCGCGTGTCCGCCCCCGTCCCCGCCTGCCTCCGACGGGCCCGGAGGGCAGCCTGGAGGCAGGGGTGTGGGGCTCCGGGTGGCAGAGCCGGTCCAGCCCCCCTCCCCTCAGAGGCGGGAACAGGCGAGGGGAGCCGGGCGCGGCGTCAGCTCTGCGCCCCTCTGGCCGGGCACCGCACAGCCGCCTCTCAGCATCTCTGAGAGGCTTCCCCTCTGAGGACACATTGTTTACGGGTCCGTTATAAAATCCCTTCCTTAGGGATGTCCGGAAATCCTGCAATAAAGAGGTTTGTGTGTTTTTTGCCAAAGGGAAAAAAAAATAGTTTTTTAGGGATTTTAGAGTTAGTGTAGCTCTTGCTACAAAATTTTTTATTTAGACGCCACTCGTGGCGTTTATAACAGCGCTGTGAGCTGGGCTTTCCTCTCCACTGTCCCTGAGAAAGAGGCCCCATTCATGTTGCCAAATACATGCTTTAACACGTTTTAGGAAGAAGTGGTAACGTGCGTTCCTGCTCCCGTGGCCGGGACCCTGCTTGTCGCAGTTCGGGCCTGCCCGTGGTCCCGTCACAGAGACAGCTGGCCGGCACGAATGCCTGCTTTGGGCAGGCGTCCAAATCGCTAGCTCTTTTTCTGTTAATAAATACTCTTTAAAGTTGGTTTTCAGAGAAAGGGGAAGGGAGAGGAAGAGAGAGAGAGAGAGCAAAACATCAGTGTGAGAGCAAAGCATTGCTGCCTCCTGCACGCCCCCTATTCTGGATCGAGTCACAACCAGGGCATGTGGCCTGACCGGGAATCGAACCAGCAACCTTTTAGTGGACAGGACGACCCCCCAACCAACCGAGCCACACCGGCCACGGCTCAAGTTCTGGCTTACCTCAGACAGGCCTTCGTATCAGTCTGAGTCCCTCAGGTTTTTCTACACGTCTAAACGGCCTCTTTCTACGTTGGTTGATTTGATAAAACACGTCCGTGGTTTTGTTTTGAACACGCCCGTGTTGAGCAGCCTCCGAACAGCCTGTGCTAACCACCGCTTCCCTGTGTTGCAGCCAAGCCCGTCTACCTCAAGCCTCAGCTCCACCCACTCCGCCTCCCCCAACGTGACCAGCTCCGCCCCGTCCAGCGCCAGAGGTCAGACCCGGGTGCGGGAGCGGCCAGCCCGGGAGCCGCGGTTTCCGTGTCCCTCTCTGTGGCCGCGGCCACGGCGTCCGGCTCCCCGCTGCAGGCGTGGTGCCCCTCGCTGACCGTCCTGCCTCCCTTCCAGCCTCCCCTCTGCTGTCCGACAAACACAAGCATTCCCGAGAGAACGCCTGCCTGTCCCCCCGGGAGCGGCCCTGCAGCGCCATCTACCCCACCCCCGTGGAGCCCTCGCAGGTACCCTCCGCCCGGGGCCCCAGGAGCCCGGGGGGGTCTGGGATGGCCCCCGTGTCCCCGGCCCCGTGTCCCCGGCCCCCGTGTCCCCGGCCCCGTGTCCCCGGCCCCCGTGTCCCCGGCCCCCGTGTCCCCGGCCCCGTGTCCCCGGCCCCCGTGTCCCCGGCCCCGTGTCCCCGGCCCCCGTGTCCCCGGCCCCCGTGTCCCCGGCCCCCGTGTCCCCGGCCCCGTGTCCCCGGAGAAATGCCCGTGGGCTGCATTCGACGGCGTGTCGGGGACCGGGTCTGCGCCTGCCGGTGGGACTTCCCCAGCCACTTTCTCTGGAGACACAGGGCTGTCATCTGAGCAGTAAGGCCGAGAGGGAGGCGAGATAGCTTCCCCTCCCTGATCTGCTCTGCATTCCTCTTTTTTGCTTATTTTATTTTTAAATATATATTTTTATTGATTTTTTTTTTTTTTTCAGAGAGGAAGGGAGAGGGATTGAGAATTAGAAACATTAATGAGAGAGAAACATCGACCAGCTGCCTCCTGCACACCCCCCCCCCCCCCCCCACCGGGGATGTGCCCGCAACCAAGGCACATGCCTTTGACTGGAATCGAACCTGAGACCCTTCGGTCCGCAGGAAAACGCTCTGTCCACTGAGCCAAGCCAGTTTCGGCATGTTTTTTCCTTATTAAATAAGTTTCTGTGGAGTTCGGAGAGAGGGAGGGGAAGGAAGAGAGAAAGGGAAAGAGGCATTGATTTGCTGTCGTTGGTTGAGTCTTGTGTGAGCCCTGACTGGGGCTCGAACCCGCCACCTTGGCGCATCAGGAGGATGCTCTGCCCAGCTGAGCACCTGGCCAGGGCAGCACGTGTGTCTGTACAGAGCACCACCCCCTGTCTGCCACTTACCGTGTGTTTTTTCCTGCACTTCACTGGGAAAAGTTATTCACCGTTTTTATTTATATAAAATCTAAGCCGGGCTTCCGAAACGCCATGTTCTCGTTGTCCAAACCTGAGGCTCTTCCCTTTCTCCCCGGCCACAGAATCAGTTCTCTGTTCCGGGGCCTCTGAAAGTGTTCAAAAGACTGTTTCCGTAATGAGGTCACCCTCTCTCCTTCTAGACTAGGGGTGTCGAACTCAGTCAGAGAAGGGGCCAAAATCTAAAATCCAGCCTAAATCGCGGGCCGAATGGTTTACTGAACAGTCATAAACTGTCATTGTGATGGAAACGCAGCGGAGTGCAGTGATGACAGCGCGGTGCGGGCCACATTGCAAGGCCTGGCGGGACGGATTTGGCCCGCGGGCCTTGTGTTTAACACATGTGTTCTAGAAGGTTCCCGGGGCCGCCTGCCGCCCCGTAACCACAGGTCCTTGTCCCTTCCAGAGGCTGCTGTTCAACCACATCGGAGACGGGGCCCTGCCCCGCAGCGACCCCAACCTGTCGGCGCCGGACAAAGGTAGGCAGCCGGCGGCCGCCCTGACCGTGCGGGCCTGTCCGTCCTCGTCGCCTCGTCCCCCCGTGTCTGTGTGGGCGGCGGGTCTCAGGTCTGGAGGGTCAGGACTCCGGTGCCCAGTAGGGGAGGACCCAAGACGGTGGCTCACGGTATGGCCTTTTTACATTTAATTTTATTTTTTAAAAATATATCTTACTGATTTTTTCTGAGAGGAAGGGAGAGATATAAAGAGCTAGAAACATCGATGAGAGAGAAACCAGCTGCCTCCTGCACAGTCCCCACTGGGGATGTGCCCACAACCAAGGTCCATGCCCTCGACCGGAATCGAACCTGGGACCCTTCGGTCCGCAGGCCGACGCTCTATCCGCTGAGCCACACCGGTTCGGCACAGAGCAGTCTTTGAACGCTGTGTTTCTGCCGGACTTGACAGCAGAGCCTGTGGTCCCGCTGTGGGCTGGGGCTCCTCTGCTGAGTGGCTTCTCAGTGCGTCCCCGGGGCCGGCCGGCCTCCCTGAGACGGAGACACCCAGGAGGCTGTGCTCCCCCCCCCCCCCCCCGGGAAGCACCGTCCCAGGGGAGTCCCTGCCCCCGGGGCCCTCATACGGCTCCACGGCCCCGATGGTGCGGGTGACTCAGATACCGTTCAGGAGTTGCAACCCAGCGTGTGACGGAGTGCCCCGGCTCAAGGCCGCTCGGAGGGCGCAGCCCGTTAGTGCCGGTCTGTGCCCCACAGGGGGGATTCCGGGGTGGGGGGCCGGGGGAGCAGGGCCCCCGCTGGCTTCCCTCGGGGACAGCCTCCCAGAGCCCAGCGTCGGGCGTCTCTCGTGAAATTCGCCGTGAAGTGCCCAGGAGTCACCCTCGTGAAGCGCTGGGCCGTGCTGTCCTGGAGGGTCGGACACAGTACCGTCCGCCTGTCCTCGGGGACCCACGTCCGGGAGACCGCAGCCCCGGTTACTTTAAAACCAACGTGGCTCTCCTCTCACAAGCCGGATATTGACTGGTGTCTGAAGAATGTAGGAACACGGCCTTTTCCTCCCCCTGCTACCGAAGGAAGCACGAGAACGGACCGAAAAGGCCCCAGGAAAGACATTTGGTCACTGCATCCCATTCAATGCACGTGGACCTTTGGTGGCAAAATGTCGACACCCTGGACCCGACCACCAGGGGGCAGTGTCTGCACAGGGAGCCAGCCCCGGGACTCCCCCAGGCCCGCGTGACCCTCAGCACAGCGCTGTGACCACCCTGAGCGTCCAGTCTCCTGCCTGTCGGGTGGCTCCGTAGTCCTGCATCTCACCGAGGCGTGCAGCAGGCGCACAGAGGAGAGGAAGAAGTTCCGCTGCAGGACGTACATCACTGGAGGGAGCTGGGGCCCAGTCCGCAGGGCGGCGTGGTCAGGCCATCCCTTCCCCGCAATCCTGCCCACAAGACTCTCAGCTTGTCCTTTGCCATCGCCTCCCCCTTTGAGTGCCACGTGCCCCAAGTCCCCACGAAAGACTGAGCTTTGGGACAGTCCGGTGGTCGCATCCTTCGTCTGCTCTCTGGCATCAAACGGGTTTGTAGTTCTCACCAAGGCTCCGAGCCAGGTGCGAGCCTGTGGTTCCGTGTGACTGAGTGCGGCAAACACACACGGCCTCGCCTGGCTGGACCGCAGCTCTCACGGCGAGGGGCAGGCCGAGAGAGCGCCAGCCCTAGAGGTTTGCGTCTGTGTGTGTGCACGTGCGGGCGCGTGTGCATGTCCTTGTGTGTGTGTGTGTCCTTGTGTGTGTGTGAGTGTGTGTGCGTGTCCGTGTGTGTGTGTACTTGTGTGTGTGATTGTGCGTGTGTGTGTGTGCATGTGCGTGTGTGTGTGTGAGTGTGTACTTGTGTGCGTGTGTGTGTGTGTGAGTGTGTGCGCATGCGTGTGTGTGTGTGTGTGTGTGTGTGTGTGTGTGTGTGAATCCAGCTGGTTTCTCTCACCCTGGGTAGCTGATTCTCCTGAGGTCCCGGGTCCGAGGGCGGAGTGCCTCAGCCGTGTTGTTCCCTTCCAGCGGTGAACCCCACTCCTAGCAGCTGGAGCCTGGACAGTGGGAAGGAGGCCAGGAGCCTGGCGGAGAGCGGGCAGCTGCTCTCGCCCCCTGTGCCTCCGCGGCCCGCGCTGACGGGTGGGTATACGCGCGTGCAGTCGCTCTCCGCAGTAACCGCTCACCGGCTGCTCCGCTCTGGCCGCGCAGAGAACGGCGGTGGGGGGGGCTCTGGAGGGGGGCCCTCAGCAGCTGCCTCTTCGTGGGCGACGCCCCTCTCTTTGCTGAGCTTCTGCTGCTCTGCCTTCCACGCTGCCCTCGGAGCTCTGCAGACGGACCAGCGCGCTCCCCGCTCTCTGCGCTGGCCCTGCCCTCCCAGCCGCCCCTCAGCGGCCTCTGCTGACGCCTGCTTCCTTCCCTCTGGTCTGGAGCTGATGGGACAGGCGCTGGCTGGCTCTGACTGACGGGCGGGCGGGGACACGCTGCCTGCTGCCCGGAGAGGGCCGTATTCGATCATTCTCGAAGGCCCGAGTTAGACTTCAAGAACCCCGGACAGGGATGGTGACAGGAGGGCCAGGGCTCAGGGACCTCCACGGGGGTGGCGCTGAGAGGGCCTGGCCGCTCTGCCAGCCGCCCTGCCCGGGGCTGGGCACAGGCTTCCAACACGTACCACGTGCCCAGAGCACTCTGAAACGTGACGGACACGCCCGGCCTGCCGGGGAGAGGAAATGCGATACCATGGCCTCAGTGGACCTTTCTGGAGGACCCGTTTCGTTCGCTGCATTTTAGCATCTTTTTTGTTCACTAAGAAGAGGAAAGTGACTTTCTTTTTTTGTATTTATTTATGTACGCTTCTTTTATTATTATTGATTTCAGAGAGGAAGGGAGAGGGGGAGAGAGATAGAAGCACTGATGATGAGAATCACTGACCGGCTGCCTCCTGCACGCCCCCTCCTGGGATTGAGCCTCCCCCGGGCAGGTGCCCTGACGGGGAATGGAACCCTGACATCCTGGTTCATAGGCCGATGCTCAGCCACGGGGCCACGCGGGCCGGGCAGCCTTTCTCCTTAAAGTAAAACCCTGCTGCCAGGTTTTCCTGTCGTTGTCGTAGCCACCGGCGGGTTTGAAAGGCTGGGGCTGCTCCAAGCGGAGCAGGAACCAGTGGCTCAGCGGTGATGTGCGCCGGGTCGCCGGGCCCCGGGTTGACCCCCGCTGGCTGTGTGCTCTGCCCAGCCTGGCTGTGCGGCTCCGGGGGGAACGTGGAAAGCATTTGGGCGGTTCGGGTCCTAGACCCATTCGGACCTGTGGGCAGGGCCCTGGCAGGGCTGGTTCAGGCTCCGTGCAGAATGCCTTCCAAAGAAGCAGCTCAGCCAGGAGGAGGCCCGGCCTCTGGCAGCCCCTGGCCACGTTCCGGGCGGAGCCTGGCTCTGGGTGCGGGCGTGCACTCTCCCCCGGTCTCCCCCGGTCTCCCCACTGGTGTGAGCAAGCGCTGGTGTGAGCACACGGCAGCAGCAAGGTGTGCTGACAGGCCCTCCCTGACTCTGGGCCCAGCGCGCAGGTGACGTACCGCTGTGGGCCAACGTGGCCGCCTCCCTCCCGCACTGATCCTCCCTGTCTGTCCTCCGTCCTCATCTGTGCTCGCTGTGGGGGCTGGGGTGTCTGGGCTGTCTGTCTGTCTGTCCGTCCCGCTTCAGCCTTCCTGTGGTTTCCTGTGCGTTATCCACCTCCCATGACAGCCGGGGGGACACGGGCAGCTCAGGACAGAGCTGGTGGGCGTGGACGAGTTTCTGCGGTTTGCAGTGGGGCCGGAGGCTGTGCCCCTGGACCTGGCCAGTCGGCGTTGCCCGGTGACCTGGCTTCCCTCTGCCACTCACGCCCAAGCAGCAGCGTCTGCAGACTGCTCCCGGCCCCCACCCTAACCCTATCCCCAACCCTATCCCCAACCCTAACCCTAACCCTACTATCCCCAACCCTAGCCCTACTAACCCTAACCCTAACCCTAAACCCTAACCCTAACCCTAATCCTAACCCTAACCCCACCCCCACAAGCACCTCCGGAAGCGGCTAAGGAGCAGCTGGGCTCTGGGGAGATGGAAGGAACGATGGGCCTGTTGGGGGCCCTGCCACGGGTGTGGCTTTTCCCTCCTCCCCAAGTCCGGACGCTGCCCATCTTGGGCAGATGTCCTTAGTCTCCAGTGGCCCCTGCCCAGTCCCCCTGCCCGGGGCCACTCGTGTGGGCTCGCACACTCAGGGGGCACGCGTGGGGGTCCGGCGCCCGGTGTTTCTGAATTGACACTCTCTCTCTCCACAGCTTCGCCTGCGAGACACACGGCGCAGGTGTCCCCCTCCCCTGCCGGGCGGTCCCCGTTGAAGGTACGGTCTCTCCTTGAACTGAGCCTGGGATGGGCCCCTGGTTCCCTTCCCCCCAGGAGCCCCGTCCATCAGCAGGGCTTTCGTTTGCAGGGGGCAGGCAGAGAGGTGGGGGCAGGGCCAGGGGCGGGAGGGAGCAGGCCTGGGCTCTCCCCAGGGCGCCGCCTGCACTGAGCAGCCGCCTTCAGTTACTAGCCTCGCTCGCAAATGGCGCCCCTGAGGGTGTGCGGCCCCGAGAGACGCCGAATTAGGAAAGAAACATGGTCCCAGTGTCACCTCCTAGGACGTGCTGGGCCTGCCCTGCGTTTAAGGGGCATGAAAGCCCACAGCACCTTGAATCAGCATCAGGATCCAGGTGTCGGAAACAGCGTGCTGGGCCTTTCGCCTTCTCATCAGCCTCGTCCACTCTGACAGGCCACACCCAGTTTTCTCTTCTCCTATTATTATTATTTTTTTAATGTTTGTATTGATATCAGAGAGGAAGAGAGAGAGATGGAAACATCAATGATGAGAGAATCATCGATCGGCTGCCTCCCGCACGGCCCACACTGGGGATCAAGCCTGCAACACGGGCCTGTGCCCTGACCGGGAATTGAACCCTGACCGCTGGGTTCGTAGGCTGATGCTCAGCCACTGAGCCTCACTGGCTGGGCTCTTCTCCTATTTTCTACCAAGACTTTTGAACACATTAGTGAAGAACTGGGCAGCGCAATGATGTGTTAAAGCTTTAAAGATCAGCGTTTACCTGGGTCTGTAGGCAGGGCTGTTGACGTCTCTGAGCAGACAGTCCCTCGGGGAGGTCTCAGTAGCTGTCCCAGGGTATGCGTCCCAGGGTAGGCGTCAGGCTGAGGGCAAGGCCTGCCAGTCCGTGTGGGCGTGGTGCCCAGGGCTGCTGCCCCGAGGCCGCTGCAGTGGAAAGAATGGTTTCGTACCTGAGTGACGGGGACCCACACGCTCCCTGTCCCTTTCGCGGGGGAGATGTGTCTGGGTAACATCAGAGAGAAACAGGTCCTGAGCCGTCCGATGCAGCAGCTGCTCATAGAAACCGAGAGTCTGAACCGCGAAACCAAAAAGAGGGAGGGGATTGCAAAGAAGCGTGATTTCGTTTGCATCGCCCGTCTCCCAGAGTGCCAATCCCTTGCTCTTTTGTTTTTATTATATTTTATTGAGTTTTTACAGAGAGGAAGAGAGAGGGACAGAGAGTTAGAAACATCGATGAGAGAGAAACATCCATCGGCTGCCTCCTGCACACCCCCCACTGGGGATGTGCCCGCAGCCAAGGTCCATGCCCTTGACCGGAATCGAACCTGGGACCCTTCAGTCCGCAGGCCAACGCTCTGTCCGCTGAGCCACACCGGTTTCAGCTCCTTCTGGTTTGTTGTCTCCGCGCCATGGCGGTTACGGAGAAGGCCCACGGCCTGCGTCGGCTCTGCAGCCGGAGGGAGACTGTGGTCTCGGGGTGACGGGAGGGAAAGCCACGGCTTCCCCCTCGCCACGCACTCCCTCCCATTCACACCAGTACCCGCACCTTTCACCTGGTTTTGCAGAGCAGCGACAGGACCGAGTCCCAGAGATTGGCCCTTAGAGAGAAGAAGGGACGGGCGTGTTGAAGTAGCGGAGAGCTTAGTGCTGTGCTGCAGGCCTGAAGGCCTCACTCCCACCTCCGTGGCCACGTGGTCACAGCTGGGTCTGAGGAGTGGCAGGACGCGTGCTGTGGCCCTGAGCTCCTCGCCCTGTGATCACCAGGCAGGCGGTGCCTAAACCCAGGTTTTTCCCAGCAGCTAAAGCACATGTGTCAAACACAAGGCCCGCGGGCCAAATCCATCCCGCCAGGCCTTGCAATGTGGCCCGCACCGCGCTGTCATCACTGCACTCCGCTGCGTTTCCATCACAATGACAGTTTATGACTGTTCAGTAAACCATTCGGCCCGCGATTTAGGCTGGATTTTAGATTTTGGCCCCTTCTCTGATTGAGTTCGACACCCCTAAGCTAAAGGGAGGAACCCCGTTCAGACGGACTGGGCTCTCCTGCCGGACGGTGGGACCCTCCACTGGCCCGGCTTCACCCCGGCCCCGCTCAGCGGGAGGGTTTGTGTCCGCCCACCATTCTGGTTTCAAGGGGGGACCGTGGGTCCGAGAGGACGTTTCACAAAGTGTGTGTGTCCCAGTGCTCCCTCCTAGAACATTCTGCGGACAGGCCATTCCGGGATGGACGCAAACAAAGGCCCCCGGGCCCCTGGTGAGAAGGCCGTGGCGGGACCAGGCCGTCCAGGTTCCTTACGGGGACTCCCCCCTGCTGGTCCTCCCCGGAGGGGCCTGCCCCCGGGGCCCGCTCCACAGACCACCGGGTCCTCAGGACCCCGGTCAGGGAGGGAGCCCGTGGGTGCCAGGGGGACGGCCAGCCGCTGGCAGGAACCGGCCAGGCGGGGACTGCGGCAAAGGAAGGACGTTACCCCGCGCCGGGAGGCAGCCCCTGCTCGGCTTCAGGAACTGATGAGGCCGAGCTGTGTCGCTAGAACGTCCGGTTCTTGACGAAACGCCAGAATCTGGCTCAAACACAGCATCTCTCCTCCTGCCCCGGAAGCCACGGCACTGCCCGGGGTGGGGTGGGGGGTTTCCAGCCCCCTTTCCGGTCTCCACGGGGTCTGCTCTGTGTGTGTGCGGGGCGTGGGGGGTGGTCCAAGTTTCTCCTCTTCTGAGGACAAAGATCAGATCAGATTTGGGCTCACCCCGGCCTCCTTTTAAGGCGGCACCGCCTGAGGGGCTGGGGTCCGGGCTTCCACGCCCACATTCAGGGTCCGCATTCCAGCCATCTCAGGGTGTGGCCCCGCCCCCAAGGCTGTGGCCCCGCCCCTCTCAGGCTGTGGCCCCTCCCCTCACAGGGTGTGGCCCCGCCCCTCACAGAGTGTGGCCCCGCCCCTCACAGAGTGTGGCCCCGCCCCTCCCAGCGTGTGGCCACGCCCTCCCGGGTGTGAGGCTTCCAAGTGAGCCCCTCTCTCTCCCTCTCTCTCCCTCTCCCTCTCTCTCCCTCCCCCTCTCCCCCTCTCCCCCCTCCCCCTCCCTCTCCCCCTCTCCCCCCTCCCTCTCCCCCTTTCCCCCTCTCCCCCCTCCCCCTCCCACTCCCCCTCACCCCTCCCCCTCTCCCCCTCTTCCCCTCTCCCCCCCTCCCCCTCTCCCTCCCCCTCTCCCCCCTCCCTCTCCCCCTTTCCCCCTCTCCCCCCTCCCCTCTCCCCCTCTCTCTCTCTCTCCCTCCCCCTCTCCCCCTCTCCCTCCCCCTCTCCCTCCCTCCCCCTCTCCCTCTCCCCCTCTCCCTCCCTCCCCCTCTCCCCCCTCCCTCCCCCCTCTCTCTCTCTCCCTCTCCTTCCCTCTCCCTCTCCCCCCTCCCCTCTCCCTCTCTCCCCCTCTCCCCTCTCCCCCTCTCCCTCCCTCCCCCTCTCCCCTCTCCCTCCCTCCCCCTCTCCCCCTCCCCCCTCCCCCCCTCTCCCCCTCCCTCTCCCCCCTCCCCCTCTCCCCCTCTCCCCCTCTCCCTCTCCCCCCCTCCCTCCCTCCCCCTCTCCCCTCTCCCTCCCTCCCCCTCTCCCTTCTCCCTCTCTCCCCCTCTCCCTCTCCCCCTCCCCCCCTCCCCTCCCTCTCCCCCCTCCCCCCCTCCCCTCCCTCTCCCCCCTCCCCCTCTCCCCTCTCCCCCCTCCCTCCCTCCCCCTCTCCCCTCTCCCTCCTTCCCCCTCTCCCTTCTCCCTCTCTCCCCCTCTCCCTCTCCCCCCCTCCCCCCCTCCCCCTCCCTCTCCCCCCTCCCCCCTCCCCCTCCCTCTCCCCCCTCCCCCTCTCCCCCTCCCCCCTCCCCCTCCCTCTCCTCCCTCCCCCTCTCCCCCTCTCCCCTCTCCCCCCCTCCCTCCCTCCCCCTCCCTCTCTCCCCTCTCCCCCTCTCCCCTCTCCCCCTCTCCGCCCGCAGGGCCCCGGGCCGCCCCCCGCGCCCTCCCCGGCGGAGCACCCCGCGGGGCTGCTGTCGCACTCGCCCGCGCTGTCCGGCAGCTGCAGCAGCGGCATCTCCTCGCTCAGCCGCTGCAGCGCCTCGGAGATCTCCGGCTTCGAGACGGCGGCGCCCGAGCCGCCCGGGCCGGGGTCCGGGTCCGGGTCCGGGAGCGGGCCCGGCGCCGCCGCCCAGGAGCCCGCGCGCAGGGACAGCCGGACGCCGCCGCCCTACAGCGTGTTCGAGCGGACGGCGCGGCGGCCGCTGCCGCACAGCCTGTCGGTGCCGGTGCCGGTGCCGGTGCCGGTGCCCGTGCCCGCGCCCGAGCCGCCCGCGCTGCCGCCCAAGCCGCTGCCCGCGCGGCGCGGCCCGGCGCCCCCGGCGGCGCCCGCAGGACCGAGCCCCCGCGGCCCCGGCCGCTGCCCCGGAAGGTGTCGCAGCTCTGAGCCCGGCCCGCGAGGACCCGCGTTTACAGGAGGAGGAGGAGGAGCCGGTGGTGGAGGCACTTTACTGGCCGGACCTGCCCTCCGGAGAGGCGCCGGGGTCCGGCTGTCCGGGCGTCCAGTGTCTGGCTGTCTGGTGTCCGGCTGTCCCGCTGTCCGGCTGTCCCGCTGTCCGACTGTCCGGTGTCCCGCTGTCCAGCTGTCCGGGCGTCCAGTTGTCCGGCTGTCCGGTGTCCGGCTGTCCGCCTGTCCGGTGTCCGGCTGTCCGGATGTCCGGTTGCACAACATGAACGTCCCGGCCCCTCCCCCGGGGGCGCGTGGAGCTGAGCTGTCAGCCCTGCTGGCGGAGGCAGTCAATGGCGATGAGACTTTTGTACCTTTCTACGTCCCCTTTTGTACATGGTTCCCTGAGAGCCAACACAGTGCTGTCCAGCAATACGACCCGTGGCGATGTTGCATATTTTTACTGAATACTTGATGCCCCGGGAAAGCTGGCCAGGGCGATGCCCATCGGCCTGCCCTCCCTGGGGAAGCCCGAGGCCTGGCTCCTGGGCCCGCGGGCCCCTGGCCGACGGGAGGCCGGTCAGACAGCAGGCGGCAGGGGCTGCCTGTGGGGCCAGGGATGGTCACTCCGGAGGCCAGCTGCTGCTGGAGGTGGCTTCTGCCATCCCACAGCTGGCTGCCCCCCCAGGTCCGCTCCGGGAGCTGGCCGGCCGGTGGGTCGTGAGTGCCCACACCGCAGTGTCCGCTGGTCTTCCCTTCCAGGTGCCGTGCCTTTCAGAGCCAGGATGAGGCGAGGGGGCTGGGGGTGCGGGGTGAGGAGCAGAGCCCAGGAGAAATGTTTACCTGAAGCCAAGCCTGGCTTCCCCACCGATCGCTCCCGCCTCCAGATCTGTCATGGAGGAGCGCCGATGCCCGTGTAGTAAACAGGCCCGAATTAATGGGTCCCATTAAGGAGCGTTCAGGAATCGATACGGGACAGTATTAAATCAATGGCGTAAATGAAGGAAAAGCCCCTCCGAGAAAACGTATTAGCATGACTGAATGGCAGGAGGCCTTGGAGGAGGCAAGGGCGTTCCCTGTCCGTCCTGCACCGAAGGGAGGATTCCCTCTCCTCCTCCCCTCCCCCCCCCCCCCCCAGCAGAGCTGCCCCTGGGCTGCCCCTGGGCCCTGCAGGGCGAGAGGGGGGGCGGCTGGGAGGGTTCCAGCGTCTGGGACCCAGGGGGGAGCACAGCCCCCTAGGGCGAACGAGCACCTTGCGTGTAGTGTTGTATTTTGTACCTGTGTGTGTTGTTCCTTTTACTGCCTGTTTATAACACTCACTTGACGATAGAGATGAACTGTATTTTAAATCACGCTGTTACATATTTCCCTCTTTTGTTGGGAAGCTCGTGTTAGGTTAACCGTGGCTGGCTTACCCGGAAGGCAGTGACCACTTTTTTTATATTCCCCCGATGCACCCATCCAGCAGGTGTACGCTGGTGAGGCTGATTATAGAGGTTTTCTATAAGAAATGTTCAAGTATTTTTGTACATACCTGGTTAATTTTAATAAGAGGAGAAACAAAGCAAAAGGGAAAAGTTGCGGATGCAGTATGAGTGTTATAATTATGCCAAATACTTTATGTATGAAAAAGAATATTTGTACATACGTGCTTTTAACAGTAATTCTGCCATATTGACTTTCCAGTTTTTTGAATGTCAGAAAAATTAATATATGTTAAAATATTTATGTTTAGTGAAGGTATTCATAATTGAGAAAAGGAGCATATAAATTTTAGCTTTGTATCTTGCAAGTTTTGCAGTTGGAAATTTCTGGAACTAGTTTTTGCTTTTGATAACACTGTGTTTGTAATCATACCCTTAAAAGAGAAAAAAAAATATATATATATATATAAGAAGCTCTGTACTTCTGTTGCTTTAAGGAAGAAAACCCTCCACTTCAGTAAGGTCACCTGCATACGATAACAAAGCTCCTTGGATTCCTCTTCCTCTGTAGTTTAACAGATTTGTCGACTCGTGCTTGGGCACAGGATAAATCCATGTTACTTGCTCTTGAAGCCATTTAAAAAAACAAAAAACAAAACTACGGTGAGCAGTGGATCCTGTGGGTGTATGTCTGAAGCAGCTAGATAGCAAACACTTCAAGAGATTCTCTTAGCTCAGATGTTCCTACTGGTTGCTGCTGAATGGTGAACATTAAATAAAATTACCTGATTAATCTTGCTATTTCTGTTGTTCTTTCTGTCATCAGCATAGTGAAAATTTGCTCATGGCATCGTGAAAATTTCAGGTTTCTTGGTTGGTTTTGATAACATCCTGTCTTGTGGTTTCGCCTTGGTTGATACACTTCCTCTACCTACAACGCTTATTGATGCGGTAAGAATGAGGGGGAAGGCAGCAGTGTGCCAGCAGGTTCCTGTCAGGGGAGAAGGGAAATTGACCAGGTGGCTGGCCATCCGTGGGACTAATCAGAGCCATCACAGTTTGTTTGCATTAGAAAACTCGACACAAAACAGATTAACCGCCCAGCGTGGGAAACCTGTTTGAGAAACGCTGCAAACGCATTGACTACCCAACGGCAAATCTGCGGGCAAATCCCGGCTCTCAGGTTTGTGAGATGCTGCGCTGTTAGGCCTGTGGCCTGTAGGGAACCCAATGGCAAGCAGACCCCTGTCTGACTCCGCTGCCCCATTCAACACTACGCCTCCCGCAGGCCGTCAGCAGCCTGGGGTGTTTCCCCACATTCACTAAGTGGCTGTAGAGCATGTTGGGGTCACGCTCCTTACAGCCCAGCTCATCTGCGCTCAGATTCTACAAGTGTAATCACAGCACGAACAGCCCTGCTTGCCATCGAGGTGGTTTCTCTGATTGTCAGACAACAGCAAAGGGAGCAGCAGGTGGCACAGGCCGGCCTCCACGCCAGCCCCCACACCCTGTGGCCGGCCCTAAAGCGAAGGCTTCGCGGTCGATCGAGATCAGCTTTGCCCATCTCCATAAGAAGGCCATGGGAGAGAGGTGAGAAGCGGACAGAAGGCCATTTCCCTTACGTAACGATTACACTCCGTTAGTCTTTCTCTACGCGAACGTATTGGGTAGTGCTAGCATGTCAAACCCGCGGCCCGCCGGCTGCATGTGCCGAGGAATATTTTTGCAGCCCAGCCAATGTAACGGTATGTAAGAAACGCTGTGATAAAACTTTATAACTTAATTTGTACAGCATCCCGTTATTATTAGTAACTGATTACTATAACCAGGCTGCACTCATTTCCCTTACTCGCCTTACACGCAGGCTCACCATTTCTCTCCACTAATACTAGCAGCAAATATTTTAGCAGCGAGGAAATATTTAGCTTTTGGAGAACAAGAAAAATAGGCTTATTTGCGGTAGGCCTGCTAATTTGTGCAATTATTCAGTGTCTGGTAAGTTAAATATTTTTATTTAAATGTGCTATTATTTCATGTTAACGATGACTCATTCATTTCAGCCTTTGTAGCCAGCATGTGTCTACTGAAATAAACCTACGTTCCTATGACAGTTGGAGCTTTGTTGATTAGGCCTGTGTTGGTCTTTGCCTCTGACATGCTCGGTGTGGTGTTTCCACCTTGTTGCGTGCTGGATCCCACAGGTGTCAGACCCGCTATAGTAACAGAGCCGAGTTCAACGCTATCAGGAGAGAGCCTCACAACTCGGGTCCCGCGCCGCTCCGGGCGGGAGGGCAGGACCGGACTTCATTGAAAAGGGGGCTTTGGTGTAAGCTGGGTCTTTGAGTGAGCAGGCCTAGAGGGTATGTATAGCAGGCCTAGAGGGGTATGTATAAGATCGTGGGGTAGCTGTTCAGGAGGTGGAAAGAGCAAGGCAGGGTCTTTTGAGTTCACAGGTTAGAGCCTCAGGACATAAACTGTTCACCGATGCTTCCTCTCAGCGGTGGGATGGTCTGCTGAGACGTTCCTGTTTGGACGCCAAGTTCTGTGCCTGTCGAGACGCCTAGAAGAGGGAGGCCACGCGGACACACAGAGCAGTGGCGTCCGGCTCACGGGGACAGGACCTGCCTGGACCACACGGTTCCCGTTCTCCACACGTAGGCAGCACGTGGCTGAAATCGTGGTGTCCCTGGGTGGCCTACTCTCATATTTGTTCGCTGTGACAGTAAGTATCTAGCTTCCTGCGATGACCTGTCAGCAGAGAGCCGAGACTGTTCCTCAGCTTGGCCGTTCCCTATTAACGGACAGCAGATGGTGAGGTCAGCTCGTTAGCTCTATTTACCCAATTAAAGGCTTAGCACATCTTGTCGGGAGAATCCGCCGTCAAGAAACCCACCTGGTCATAATGGATCATCGTTAGTAAGTTTATTCCAGCCTCCGTGGCCAAAAACTTAGATATGACTACATCATCTCAATTATTTTTAAAAAATATATTTTATTGATTTTTTTACAGAGAGGAAGAGACAGGGATAGAGAGTTAGAAACATCAATGAGAGAGAATCATCGATCAGCTGCCTCTTGCACACCTCCTACTGGGGATGTGCCCGCAACCAAGGTACATGCCCTTGACCAGAACCGAACCTGGGACCTTTCAGTCCGCAGGCTGACGCTCTACCCACTGAGCCAAACCGGTTTCGGCCATCTCAATTATTAATGTAGAAAACAATGCAAATTGCTTTCCTTTCCCAACTGGAAGGCAACAATGATGGAGACGGGGTGGGGGGAAGGCGGGAAGCCAGCAGGCTTGCCATGTGACTCTGTCCATTCTGCAACCGGCACCACAGCAGGTCCGGGCCGGGGTCAGCTGCTCGGCGGGTCCCGATTCTGAGTACCACACGCAGATGGAGGGAGGGGCCAGCGCAATACTGATGAGAACAAATGGGTCTGGAGCTCCCCTCTGGCCTTTGAAACGGGATTCAGTCTGGGGCCTCCTCTTGACCTTTTTGGAGGCATCTTCCTCCAGGAAAAGATCAACGTGCACAATCTGCAGGGTGGAAGTGAGCCTCAACTTGCCTGGAGCGGAAGCTGGATCCCTGCTCCTTTCAGAGGCCTGAGGAAGAGCGATCACGCCTTCTCACTGGGAGGAATCAGAGGAGCGATGGGCTGTTCCTCATCAATGTTTGTAACGGAGAGCG